AAGCTAAGGTATTTAGGAGCCTTTTTATATTATGGATATAAACCTCTATATTATTTTTACTAAATTTAAGTATAGTATTTATTAGCTCCTTATAACTAATAAATTCAGCACTAAAACCTTATTAACCATATAGTTTTTTAAGGTTATTCCATAATATATTAGCGTCACTAATATACCTTAATTATAATAATGGCCCATCTCCTAGTATAAGCTTAATTAAGGTACTTACCTTATTAATCTTAACTAGTAATTCTCTATATAGGCTTTTATTATTACCAGCTGCTTTAAGGGTAATAGTATTATTTTTAATATCCGTATAGTCTCTTTTAACTAATAGTACTTCCATTCTAATAGACTATAAGTTATAATTAGAAGAGCCTATTAATTTTGGAAATTTCGTGATATCCATTTTTGATATAACCTTCTTTAAGATTAAGATGGTAGTTAGTCTCTATAGACTTAACTAGCTTAGTTAGTCTATAATATATATATATATATATATATTATAATTATAGCTATAAGTATCTCAATCTTTTGTTCAAGACCTATTTCCAAGCTCTTTATGGAATCATGTGAATGTTATATGATTATCATGTGAGCATATAAGTTATGCTATCACATGATTAGATATCTATAAGGTTATATAAGAGTCACGTGTACTAATCTTCTTAGTTATATATGACCTTTTATATATCTAAAATAGGTAATAGAGTCTTCTAAAATATTAGGTAGACTCTATTAGTTAAAAAGAATATATAAATCTTTAGTTATAAGAGGGTATATGCTTAACCTGGGCTTATAACCTGTTAAGCTTTTGGAGGGCGGATGCTTAGTAAGATTTATATAGAAGAAAACTTATATATTTAAGATATATATTTTGTTTTACTTACTTTACAAAACTGAGGTAGGTCATGTTGCTTATATAGACCAATTACCCCGCTTTTCATACAACCTCGGTTAGTTGAATACCTCGGTTATTACCTAATACCTGAATGACTAATATTTTCATTCTGTTATTTAAGAAATATATTATAAATCTCATTCTGGATTAACAATAAGAGGGTATATACTTAACCCGGGCTCATAACCTGTTAAGCTATGCTATTGGAGGGTGGATGCTTAATAAGATTTATATAGAAGAAAACTTATATATTTTAAGATATAGATTTTGTTTTACTTACTTTACAAAACTAAGGTAGGTCCTATTGCTTATATAGACCAATTACCCCGCTTTTCATATAACCTCAGTTAGTTGAATACCTCGGTTATTACCTAATACCTGAATGACTAATATTTTCATTCTATTATCTAAGAAATATATCATAGATCTCATTCTGGATTAACATTCTGAATTTATATTTCTTAATCTAATAGTTTATAAGATAATCAAATAGGTATTATTGAAAATAACATGTATTATATATACTTAATATGCATTTAGCGAGTCATATCTGGGGGTGCGTCATATCTGGGTGGAAACTCTATATAGCCTTTATAGATTAATTAAGTATACTGCTTATATATATTCTAAATATTAGGTTTCAGCTTAGATAATTAATTAATATTTTATTGTTGTATGATAATATCTTTATTAAAAGATTTTAAGGTAGGCATGGTGATCGACTAGGTTAGGTGATCGACTAGCTTGTGAATCACATTAATTGCTATAGTTTTGATTACTATATAATTATTGAAAGATAATTGACGCGCTATGGTAGGATAAATAGGCAACTCGCTTATACAGGCCACTCGCTTATAATGGACACTAGGAAAGGGTTCCTAATAGTGTATTTATTTTTTTCTAATATACTATAGAAGTCCCTTCCTCCCTCGCTCTTGGAAGCTCATCCCTTCTAAAGTGGCTTACGCTAGTAAGGTCTTGTCGGATTAGGAAAGGGTTCCTAACACTAATGTTGCCGCCCGCCGTTGCCTTTTCGATTCGAAGGCCTCACTCTCGACTGCGGATATTTCCTGATTCGGGTATTCGCAATCCTCGTTCTCAGGCATTTTCTCGCCTTCTTTCGCAACTATTTGATGATTGTCCATTTCCGGTTCCATCATGTCTTCAGCGCCTGAAGAACGGAACCCTGGTTCTGCAACTTGTATCTGGCCCCCCAGCGCTTGTTCCTCTCTTATGGCCCTCATGATCTCATCTTCAACCCTACTCTTCTTCCTTATCCGCTCTCTATGTATTGCATTAGGACTAAAGGTCATCAACCTGAGGGTCTCCTCAATTTCATTCTCCACGAGTTCTTTGGCATAATTGGCGAGTGGGCGTTGCGTGAAGACACCAGGGAATCGAAAACTCAGCCAAAGATACAAAACTAAACCTTTATGCAACTCCTCCAGATTTTTAAGACGAGTTTTGCTGCCCTCGGTGGACTCATCAAGGACGTCAAGGTTCATGTGTTTCAGCGCGAGGAGTTCACCGCCGCGTTGACTCCCAATGCATTGGGCAAGCTCTTTAAGTAATTTAGCTTGTGAAGAGGTAGGCTCGCGTATTGCTGCAGGTGCATTAATGAAGATCATCCTATCTTCCATACTCAAACCCTCGATGCCATGAATCAGGTCCGCCATCATAATCATGTCGGGTTTGTGGAAAATCCTGTACCTGTGCGAGGTAGCGCTCAACTCTCCGAGCCTGAGCAAGATATAGCTCAGAGGCGTGCCCGGGGGAAAATATGATGCGAATCGTTGCACAATTCCTGGAGGGGGCTGAAGTGTAGCAAAACTAAGCTCAGGAGGCTCTGTCTCAAGGGCAGATCTGACGACACCAAAATCTGCATGGTCGATCGTCGTTACGAGACCGACAGTGTGTGGGTCGAATTCTGCTCGTGAAGAGAGCTGCGCATTCAACGGGGTTATGGTATCCAAATTCCCTCCTACACTGTTATCATCCAGGGAAGACTCTCCAGCATTGAGATGCAAATCAGTCTTGAAGACGTCATATCTACCAGATTCTCTTACTTCATCTGCATTATTCTCGTTTTCGGCTGATTTGAGAGATTGTTGGGATGTACGATATCTTCCTGCTCTACCAGCGATTTGTCTGATTTCAGAAACGGTCAACGTCGTATACTTTCCGTTTTGATATTTGTGCACTGTCTCGAAAATGATGCGTTTGATGCTCCTTCTCGTTGTCAGTTTTGAACATTGGACGTGTATACTCGACGAAGCTCCTCTGAAACTTACAAGTTTAAGCCCATGCCCACGGCATCACTGGCAATAAGATAGTCATAATCATTATTAGGATCATTAAACAGTCTGGCCTGCTGCGCTCTTGTCTCTGGTGGAAGACTCCCATAAACCACAGCTGCCTTTTTGCCCGTCTTTTTTTCCACTTCGGTCCTTAAAGCATGAATGTTGACCACCGAGAATGTAACTATGCAGTCTCCTTTTCGCAGATCTTTGAAGGATCCGTTCAGGCTCCTCTGGTCCATCTTCAAGCTTGTCAACCTGTCGTATTCGTGCACGACAAGCGTGTCTCCTGCCGCTGCAGCGAGTTCGCGGATGATTGGCAGGGCTCTAACCTCGCCGCAGACGTGAATTTCCTTGGCTTGTAGCCCAAGCAATGCCTGTGTCCAAGCAAAACCTCGCTCCAGACTTCCTAGCATCTGTATTTCGTCTATTACGGCGACATCGTACTGCGAGTTCAAGTTTGTCATCTCGACAGTCGCAGATATGACCTTGGCTGTAGCACTATTCCATCCATCAGGTAGTCTCTGTTCCTCTCCTGTAACGAGTGCGCAAGGTTTGCCCTTTGCGTTAAGCCTCGAGTATACCTCGTGTGCCAGCAATCTCAAAGGACCCGCGTACAGACCAGCACTGGCTTGTTCCAACCTCTTCAGCGCGTGATGCGTCTTGCCCGAGTTGGTAGGTCCGATGTGAGCATGAATCGTCCTGTGCATGGCGCGTGGCAAAGGAAACCATTCGGTCGGGTAACGGAGATCTGCCAACGCCTTTTGATTCTCGATGTCCTCGGCGGAAAAATTCCTTCCTAAGAAGTGGTTGTATAGCGCATACTGCAATTCGCTATCTAAACCGCTCTGTCCGTTATCTTTCATGGCCCCAAAAAGCTTGCTTTGAAGATCGTGGACGGAACTGAATTTGCTACCGCGAGTGTCATTGCCAATGCTCTCCCTGACATACCAACGGAACTGGGCCAGGGCCTTGTCAACTTGGTCGCTGTTCAACCCAGGTAGCTGGAATATAGGCGACTCCTTCAGCTTTGATTCGATGGCATCGAGACGATCCAGGACGATACGTTTGAATCGATTCTTCCGGAGCATCTTGTACGCAACCTGCTCGTAACCCTTGACCTCTTTACTATTTGCCTTCACCCTCCTAAATAAGGGCCGGTTTGATGCCGTCCAATCTGCACTTCTACCATACATCTTGCGAACCACGGAAGCTGTTCTCTGTACGCGGGAGGCCGTGGAAAATGAACCATATTGTTCGACGATATGCTGTGGGAGGCGACTTTGCCGAGCTCGAGATAGATGATGTAGCCCAGATGCACAGAAGATGCATTGCCATGGCTGTGAGTGTATAGCGGGCATCACCAGGCCTTGCGTCCTGCGAAAGGAAGTATCCGCTCGCATCTGATGGTTGTAGGCCTGATTAGAAATTCTAGCTTCCGCAACGCTTGCCCTGAGAGAGGCCATTAGATCACACTCTTTTTTGGGATGTAAGAAGGGACGTGCAGCGACCCTGACGTCGATCAAGTGGGCGCCGTGTTCCAGGCAATAGGCTCCGCATCTGCAGCATCCCACATTCAAGGCACCACCTCACCTTTTACCCGCTCTTGTAGCCTACTGACCTTTTCTTTGAAGTATCGGAATCGCATATGGTATCCTAGGGATTGGCGGTCTTCCTACTTATCGTCGCGAATATTGAGCGTAGTGCTTGCTTACAAGCCCGCCATGGGACTCAATGTGATTCAGAGCCAGAAAGACGGTATGTTTCAGCGGCATTGTCAGTACATTGCGATCATCTGAATTAATGCATGCCTCAGATATTCTGAATGCCATTCGAAATGCGACTCGTGGAGATGTTTGTGTTGTCGCCATCTACTCGGGGGCTTTCGGGCTTACATGTGGAACAGTGGAAAGTACTAGTTGTGGACGAGCAGACGAAGAAGTTGCTGGACAATGTGCTCAAAGAGGATGATATACTCAACGAAAACATTACCAGTATGTCGTTTCCCACGCATAGATAGTCAAAAGATGAGGTATTTCAATGCTGACCCAGACGTCAGACATCGAAATCCTGGAGCAGAAGCGGCAAGCTCAGGATATGGATGCCGTGTACATACTCGCACCGCTACCTTACGTTGTTGACTGCGTTATGGCAGATCTCGAGCGCGGGCGCTATCGAAGGAGTTGGCTTCTATGGACAAGCAGTGAGAACAAAGTCTTTGCAGACGGTTGCTATGAATTTGTGCTGAGACTTCCCACGCAGTCGTTCCTCCAGTGCTGCGGCAGCGAATTGATCGCTCACAGATAGCGCAAAGCCAAGTTGCCGATTTCAGGGTCATAAACATTGAATACTACCCTCGAGAGTCCCAACTGGTCACGTTCAGAGACCCATGGAGCTTCCCTAAACTGTATCACCCGGCCTGTAGTAATCTGGTTCCGCAGACCATAGCAGACATTGCACAAAAGGTGCGAGGTAAAATATGATATGAAAGGAATATGAGAGCTTACAGCTATGGATAGGTCGTGGCTACGTGTGTTTCGTTGGGCGAATATCCTACAATTCGCTATTACGCTCCGTTAAACCCTGAGCCTTCGCATGAAGCTCATGTTCTCTGCAGCCATCTTGCGAACGCAATACAAAATGAGATAGACACATATGCAAAGTGGAACCAGAATTTCCCTCCGCCGTCAAACCGTCCTCGCGGCGCATTGTACGTTGTTGATCGTTCGTTCGACTTGTTTGCACCGTTCGTACATGAGTTTACCTTCCAGGCTATGGTGCATGATCTACTGCCAATAAAAGAAGGAGACAAGGTCACTTACAGGACTGTGATCAATCAAGGCGAAGAAAATGAAGAAGTGAGGGATATGGAAATCAGCGAGAAAGATGCCATCTGGACTAAATACCGGCATACGTTCATGGCGAACACAATCTCTGGTATTGAAGCGGATTTCCAGAAGTTTGTAAAGGACAACCCGCATTTTCAAAACTCCAATGCGGCTACAACAAATATCAACACCATCAAGACAATGCTTGCTGGTCTACCACAATTTCAAGAGATGAAGGAGGCGTATTCCTTAAATGTCAATATGGCTACGGCTTGTATGGATATCTTTCAAAAGCACCAGCTCTCCGAACTTGGATCATTAGAACAATGCTTAGCAACCGGATTGGACGAGGATTACAAGAAGCCCAAGAATGTGGCTGATCAGCTGATTCGTATGTTAGACGAGGACGCTGTCGTTCCACCTGACAGACTTCGTCTGATTGCGATGTACGTTCTTTTCAAGAATGGCCTTTTACCTTCTGACATCCGTCTTTTATGTAACCATGCCGGACTGTCGGCGCAGGACGAGGAGGTGCTTCACAATCTCGAATTACTTGGCGCCAGAGTCTTTAAGCAATTAAAGGACACGAGACCTCCTCCATCATCCATGTTTTCTAGGAAACCACCGCCCGCACCAAGCGAAGAAGACTCATTTCTTTCTCGATTTGTACCAAATCTCAAGCTTTTGCTTGAAAAACATGTTGCCGGAACCCTGGACTTCAACCTCTTCCCATTTGTGCGGCCCGACCCAAGCCAACAACAAGCAGATGCCAACGCAGCCATTCCGTCATCTTCTTTGCGCTCCGCCAAGCCTACATGGGCAAGAAACAAGCTCTCGTCCACGGAGCCTCGCCAACGTGTCATTGTCGTCATGGCTGGCGGTGCCACATACTCGGAAGCCCGCTCATGCTATGAGATTACGAAGGAGACATCGCGTGACGTCGCACTGGTTACGTCGCATATGCTCACACCAGGTCTGTGGATGCGACAACTTGGCGACCTATCTCAAGAGAGGAGACGACTGGGCATTCCCCAAGACCAGCCCCCAAAGCAGGCTCCGAAACATCTTTTCGAGGATGATCGACCGCAACCTCCTCCCATGGTGAAGGCACCACAGTTAGGCTCGGCAGGAGCTGCTGCCACCCCTAACCCACCTCCTGGCTCCGTGATACCACCCGTGCAACACATGCAGAATCTACGCGTCAATGGCAATGGACCCTCTCATTCGCGACCAGGTAGCAATGCTAGTGGCGGCCCTGGGTTTATTAAACTAAGTGGTTCGCCAGCCCCGAGCGAAAGTGGCAAGAAGGAGAAGAAAGAGAAGAAGCATCATTTCGGTTTCGGAAGCTCAAAGAAGTGATAATGATCCCTAGCATTTGGAAAATTACACATGATGCAGCTGTCTGGACAAGTGAATGCTAGTGGCTAACGCAAGACTATCTGACAGGCACCAGACAACAAGAACGAGAACACGAAACAAAACAAACGCAGAGGCGTGCGAGATATTTGTGCGCGGAACTTCTGTGGTCTCTGGTAAGGACAGAAAGGCTTTAGGATCAACAAAGACATCAAAGATGTTGCAGGTGGATGGTGCTGCGAAGCATAGGCATATGGCACAAAGTCGTGAGACAACAGCGAGTTGGAAGATGAAGCTGAACTGGGTGTTGAAGACCGTTAGTCGTACATGGGTGTGAGACTCGAAATTCGCTTGTGACTTGTATCACTGCAGCAGAACTAGGCCAAATGCGATGAATAGAACATGTTTGTATTGATCAATGAGACCTTTTCGAGACGTTTGGAAAGTTTTCTGACGCACTGAATTCGTCGATCTCAAGATAGATATGTCTGGTCGTCGTAAGTTCAGCGAACAGTCGATATGCACAACTGCTGGTAGGCTTTTGCTGACCGATTTCACTGCATTCTTTCAATACGATCTTAAATCTTAAACATGATGGCAATGTCCTGACATTGGTTTTATGCATCTCATTGTGATTTGTTGACCCATTGATCCTAGTCTGGCGCAAGGAACGCAGTAATATCAGAAGCTAATATTGACGAATTCTATCAATAATGACCACTTAAGCTTGCAACAAAGAAACGAACGGATGAACTAGTAAATGAATCAGTCTTGCACGTTGTGGTTGGGTTGTGCATGTGGTTTGCGAATTTAAGAGGCCGAAATTCTTTAATTTGCTCGTAAGACGCTATCATTGAAAGAAGAGTCCGAAAAAAAGCTCATCTTACGTCTACGAATTGTGTATCGTATTTCGCAAAATGCGCGATCATTTTATGTCTCTGAAAATATGCCGTAGATTCACATCTTGACGCCGTGCAGCTGCACGCGGTATAGACAAGTGGCTTCTTTGTTACCCAGATTTTCCAACACTTTAAAAACAAAATCCTGAGCGACAAGCTCATTTATGGCTAGGTCCATAGTCCACGACTTAACTTCGCGGACGTGATGTGCGATCTCTAAGCGGCCGAGGCAAGTCCAAGCATTTACATTCTCTGGGGCTGAGCCCAGACATTCGCCCTTCTGCCCTTCCCCGGGAGAAACATGAGCCCAGACCTCGATGAGCTTCGGTGCGGTGCCTAGGTCCGCCCCAGATCCAGCAAGATCGTCGGCAAGGACATGCTCAACGGTAACGGCACTAGCTTTCACCGGATAAGGTGCTCGTACCCCAAGAGCGGCTTTATTGGCAGGCGTGCACCAGCATTCCCCTGGTTCAGTCCAGGGTTGCAGGGCTGTAATTGGGGCTTTCATGCCTGGAGGAGACCAAAACTTGGAGAACGGAATGAAAAGACTGGAGAAGGTGCGCTTGGTCGCGGACGTGAAACCAGGAAGTATAGTGCTGCCGATGCTCGCGGAGATGTGGTTGAAGGGTGCTTGGAGTAACGCATTTGAGGCGCGGCTACGGGCCAGCTCATCCTCGAGAAAAACGACACGGGATTCAAGGTGGTTCAGCCGGCTGATTACAGCAGGATCCGAGGGCCTGGAAATGTATGAGACGACTGTGGAGGTGATCTGGGGATCAGAATTTTGGTGGTAGATGGACGGGGAGACGGAATCACGAGTTAGGATGCGACTTGCGATGGGTATGCCAAAGACGGCGAGCATGGAACCAAGGATGAGTGCTAAGAAGAGACCGAGGGCGGGTTTCCAGTACCTATTAAAGAGCTCCTTGCTGCCATTGGTTGCGAGAACAGCTGCTGCATAGATACGCTCGTGAAGGATAGGAGCCGGATTAAGTCGCTCGTGAGTGGTCGGCTGGTGTACTGGCTGAGCCAAGTGGCCGATACCAGCCTCTCGCTGGCTTGAGAAACTCTTGCTGTGGAAGATTTCATCTTTGTTGGCGCCGGCATCGCTTGCGAAGAAGGATGAAGAGGCCTCGCTAGCAGCAGGACTGCCTGCGCGACTCAGCGATCGCTCCTCCTCAACGACGGGTGATAGAATCGAGGTAAGCTCTGGCGCCTGCTCGACCAATTCGTTGTTCAGAGCGGAAGAGAAGGCTTGACTCGTGTGACTAGCGACCCGTGAAGAAAGCGCTTGGCTGCTGACTCCGTACGCATGACTGGTGTTGCCGGTGCGGGCAGCTGCGGTGGGCCCGGTCCTCCTTGCTCGAGACCTCCCACTTGGGGTGCTCATGTCGCCAGGCGTGATGGTCGAACGGCGCGCTGAGGTGCGAAGACGCTCAGAGTACGTTGGACCAGCGCCGGGGGTTGACTCGCGAGATGAAGCGCGGGTGGTTACCATGATGACTTTGACCTGACGGCGGGGCTTTCGGATCTAGAAGTACGTCACGGAATGTCTAGATGCAGCTGGAAACCGTCCTGCGGTGTGATCTGAGAGACGATGAGCCGCAAGCTACCAGTAGATATGTCGGAGGAATGAAATTTGGTACAAATGATGGGGTTGCGCGGGAATTAACTAAGTATATTGCACAGCAAAAAGTTCACAATAGCCGCAAGAGTTCATTCTTGCTTTGTAGAGCCCACGTAAAGACTGGTCCTATTGTTCAAACAAGGTGCTGGTTGGCTGTATCATTGTATTGGGCGCCCTTTTGGGCGTTTGGAAGATGATGGCAGAAGGGGGAAGTAAAGTGAGGTTTGGAGAAGTGAGCGCAGTGAAACTCACCTGGCAAACACTACGCAGAATGCGGGGAACCAGGCTCCAAAAGAAGACCTGATAAATCAAAAATGCGGCTCCGTCAGCAGCTATTGTGATCCTGTGGTTACAGATATAGTCCTCTGGGCGGGATTAGATGGGGGCGCGAACGCGCGCGTTGTATGTTTGTCTTTACTCCAGCTAGGGTTGAGCGTGACCAACTCTCATTGTCGCGCAGCGACTGCGATTTCATGACCGCGACAATGGGCAAGGAGAGACAGACGTAAGGAAGACGGCGGCCATGCAAGGAGCTCTTCGATACGACTCTGGGCAGGTCGACGGCGAAGATGGCCGAGTCGCCAGCCACATGGTTGGGCGTGCTTTGCTCAGGACGGGGCGCTTGAGGGCGCTTGAGGGCGCTTGAGGGCGCTTGAGGGCGCTTGAGGGCGCTTAGAGGAGCGAGTGCGCAAGACACTCGCTTAGGTTGAGCTAGACCATGTCTGGACTAGTCAGCTCGTCCCACAGCACGGAGCACTCGTGTCGTTCCGAGTTGAGAAGAAGTTGGGCGATGCCAGGCGGCGTGGGTGCTGTGGCAGCACCGCTGCGACAATTTCGCTGCTGGAGTGTATCCAATTTGCCCATTAGCGTTCCGTGAACCGCTCGTCGACCTGTCGCTCTCTTCCACGTCCGAAAATGGGCGACGAATTCTGGTCTGTACCGATTGAGCGGCCTCGCTTACGCTCCTTCGCACTGCGAAAGGCGGCTCTTCCACGAAGTAGCATGCACGACTCCTCACGGATGCGGGTTTACTTCACGTCGAAAAGACGGGAACTGGTCAAGACTGTGCTCTAAATCGTCAACTCTCCTGAAGCGCTGCTGCTTGCCTGAAAGTACATAGCCCATGCTGGCTGGCCTGCAGTAGCGGGACGCTTGAATACTGCGCAAGAAGGCGGTGAGCGGCCGTCCACCCGTCCCACGTTTCGTTTTCGCTCAGCCAATTTTTCTGTGCTGTGAACCGACCAGATCAGATGGGACAGCAAGCATTGAACATCCTATTGACTCGCCCATCTTTTGATCACTCTCCTGGCAGGCAAGGTCGCATTTTATTCACACCCCGATTCTCACCCTGCTTCTTCTTTGACTGAGCCCAAACACCACACTTCTCAAAGTATCGGAGTGGCACATCTGAAAATGGCAGTTGGCTCGGTCCTAGTTACTGGGTGCGTGCTCTTTTCCCTGCTTCGGAGTATCTATGTCTTGCAGCTTCACCGTAAATTTATTATCAGATTTTCTTTTTCAGACAAAATAGATTCCATTGAGCAGTTAGCCGCCTCTGCTTCCCATGGGTCGAGCTAGCCTTAGCTACCATGAAACACGTCTCCTTGAATTCGACCCTATGCCTTGGCTGACAGCACATGCAGTGGTACCGGCTATATTGGTTCTTTCACTACCCTTGCTCTCATCGAGGCTGGCTACAAGGTTGTCATCGTCGACAATGGCTACAACTCCTTCGGCGAGGAGGTTGTCAACCGAATCGAGATATTGACCGGCACTCGGCCTGCATTCTACAATGCGGATCTCACTGACGAGGCCGCCATTGACAAAGTCTTTGATGAGAACCCTGACATTGACAACGTCATCCACTTCGCTGCCCTCAAGGTGAGCATAGTTTGAAGGCAAGGTAAACAGAATATATCAGTTCAGACCTAATATTCGAACCAGGCCGTCGGAGAGTCTGGCAAGATTCCGCTAGAGTATTACCGTGTCAACGTATACGGCAGTTTATGTCTGCTCCGCTCTATGGAGAAGCACAGTGTTACCAACATTGTCTTCTCCTCCTCTGCAACTGTCTATGGTGATGCAACTCGCTTTCCTAACATGATTCCCATCCCGGAGACTTGTCCGTTGGGACCTACAAACACATATGGCGATACCAAGGTCACGGTCGAAAAGATGATTGGGGCCTGGATCAATGCCATGCGCAACAAGGCGGCTGAGAGTGGTGCGAACGGAGACAAGTACAATGCCGCTCTTCTGAGATACTTTAACCCTGCAGGCGCTCACCCGAGCGGCATCATGGGCGAAGATCCACAGGGTGTGCCCTACAACCTGCTTCCGCTCCTAGCCCAGGTGGCTACTGGTAAGCGAGAGAAGCTGCTGGTATTTGGTGACGGTAAGAGTATACAAGCAAGGCACTATGCTTGTCGTCATGGACACATTATGGACAGCACTGACTTGGAACTAATCAGACTATGCTTCGAAAGATGGAACGGCGATAAGGGACTACATCCATATTCTTGACCTTGCAAATGGCCACTTGGTCGCTCTGAACTACCTTCGTGAACGCAATCCTGGCGTCAAAGCTTGGAATCTTGGCACCGGCCGTGGTTCCACGGTCTTTGAGATGATCAAGGCGTTTGGCGCAGCTTGCGGCAAGGATCTACCATACGAGGTGGTTGGCCGCAGAGATGGCGATGTTCTCGACCTGACTGCCAACCCCACACTGGCCAATACTGAACTTGGCTGGAAGGCCCAACACACTCTCGAGGATGCTTGTGACGATCTGTGGAGGTGGACTAGCAACAACCCCCAAGGTTATCGCCAGCAGCCTCCAAAGGAATTGCTTGATGCTGTAAAGAAGCAGAAATGAGTTTGTCGCAAAATTGACGACCTAGCGTTGTTTGTGGCACCTATTTGATTTAAATAGAGAAACAGAGGCAAGACTATCGTACACGGTCGAAAGGGGAGGGGTTTGCTTTTCCAGAGAAAAGGCTTTAACAAGCCACGATTTCGCCTGTAGAATCTCGATAGACTAGTCAATGCAACAGAAAAGACGTCGACGTCACATTAATGCTATCAATCCATATCAGCCTTGTCGAGGCCGCCTTACAACGGCCAGCCAATAGTCAGAGCGGCGGGGCCCCACCCTCGTCTCCGTGAACCATTTTGCGGATTTGTGATTCGAGCAGCAGCGCGCAACCAGTGACTCAACTCTCCGAAAAAAAAAAATTCATGCATACACAAGCCCTTCGCCTACAACTCCCGCAATTTTTCCTTACACGTATTGATAGACTTCGCTTTTTTGCATGCCCTACATCTTCTGAGCTTCTCTCCTTAATCGTACCATATCGGCGTCCATTCTATCTCTCCCCAAGTTTGAGACGCGCACAAAGCTTGAAGACAGCTCCTATTTTCAGAGTCGGCGTGCATCCTATGCAGCAACCACTCCTTCAGCGGAACATGGCGACAGCGACTCTGGACATGATGACGCTGTCATTCTTATCCAAATCGTTTGAGGATCTGGCTATCGATGCCTCGACAGACGCGAGCAAAATCTCCAGCGCCATATTCCCCGACAGCAAGTATACCGACGCCGAGAAGGCAGAGATAGATCAATGGGTTATTGCGGCATCGCATATCGCAGACAAAACTGCGGACGCTGCGAAGACGGACGAGCGTCTCGCGAACCTCAACCGCCACCTTTCGACGCGCACCACGTTGCTCGGCAGCAAGCCGTCAGTTGCAGACATTGCCCTGTACCAACGCCTTGCACCCATTGTATCCAAATGGAGTTCTGAGGAAAGAACGGGCGAGCAGGGCTATCATCATATCGTAAGATACGTCGACTTTGTCCAGAATTCTCCTGTGTTTGGGTTGAAGCTCGAGAATGCCGAAAAAGTCAACATTGACGTGGATAAAATCACGTTTGTTCTCAAGCCGATAGACGTAAAGGCAGAGAAGGCACGAATGAAGAAGGAGAAGGAAGCTGCTGCTGCTGCTGCGGGTGCAGCGACGCCCACAGACAAGGCTAACGACGCGGCCGACAGGACGAGCAATAAGGACAAGACCGATACTGCCATTGGAGCGGCAGGCACTGAATCGCCGATTTCAAAGGAGCATGTCGACAAGAAGCAAAAGAAGGAGAAGAAGGAAAAGACGCCAAAACCGCAAAAGGCTGCGCCTGTGGAGAAGCCGCTGTCTCCCGCCCTCATTGACCTTCGCGTGGGCCATATTCTCAAGTGTGTGCAACATCCGGACGCTGAGAAACTGTATGTCTCCACAATGGCGGTTGGTGACGCGCCGGGTACGGAAAACACGTCTGAGTATGAGGGACAGGTTGTGCGCACCGTCTGCTCTGGCCTCAACGGCCTTATCCCTCTAGAAGAGATGCAGAACCGCAAGATCGTTGCCGTATGCAATCTCAAGCCCGTCACAATGCGCGGCGTGAAATCATGCGCCATGGTCCTTGCTGCCTCGCCCCGCGATGACGACAGTCACGCCGGTCCTGTCGAGCTTGTCAGCCCCCCCGCTGAATCCAAGGCTGGTGAGCGTGTATATTTTGAGGGCTGGGAAGGCGAGCCAGAGGCAGTACTCAACCCAAAGAAGAAGATCTGGGAGACAATCCAACCGGGTTTCACTACCACAGATGACCTGATCGCTGCTTTTAACGTTGAGGATGTTGAGCCGCTAAAGGCGCAAGGAAAGACCGGTATTAGCAAGCTGAGGACAAAAGATGGTTTCTGTGTTGTGAAGAGTTTGAAGGGAGCGACCATTCGGTAAAAATCGATGGGCGCCATTTGGTATATCAACGAGGCACATTTTGAAGTCTTAAAGTTATAATCTCGAAGTTCACGTCGGTATTGATGTTAACTCAACGGTCTAGATATGGCATAAAGAGCTTTCACGAGGACGTTGTATGTACGCAAACAACGAAAGTGCCAGATTAAACTAGCTAAGATACAATGAATTTGTTGAGAGATTAATCCCCGTCTGTAAAACGATCTTATGTGCTTCGACGTATTTTGGTAGTCGCTGCAAGGGCTTTGACACCATTTCAGTATCTTCAACGTTTTGGGTAGGTTTCTGCAAAAAGTTTTTCACTGATTGCTATTCAGCTGTCGAATAGGGCGACCAAGGAATAAAGATTTGACCATGGGGTCTCAATGATGCCGCAACGTGCGTTGCTTCAACCTCCCAGTTCCGTGTTGATGATTGAGGGGAGAGAATACTGATCGCGCTTCCATGGAATTTGATTTCCCAACACGTTTTGATGTTCTAGGACGATCAAGTGTTTTACATTGATGACATCTTTGGTTTCACTTAAGACGTCTTCTGAACATCGGGTACTCCAACCATGCCTTAATTGGCAGCACTGCCAGGTGAACTTTTACGGAGACTTGGCGCAACAACTAGACGGCTGGATTCGGGTCGGGAACGTTGAGCGATGATTGTTGCTTGGAGGCGACGCCGCTGTAATTTGACCTTTGTGTATTGATCTTGGAAAATACGGCATCGTTTGAATCACATTACCGTAGTCTTTGCTAGTTAAGGCAACTATCGGTCTTGTCTGCTGAACTTTAGTCTGCTTTAAAAAGCTCCTAGAATCAACTTGAAGCGCCGATGAAGACGACAAGAACTGCAGCGTATGCTAAGAATAACATGAGTCGATTTCCTGAGAGAAGCAATTGTAAATCAGCTTACCAGCAGTGGCACCAACGATCTCTTGATTGGAAGATTTGGTTCCAAAGGAGATAATGGCCCCAAAGGCCAATACGAAGACCGAGCATATGATTAGATTAGCATTGGATGACTTGCTGAATATCATGAGTATCATCGGGACGAGCAAAGACGCTAGGTTTTATTGTTAGCCCCTTTTTGGTATGCCATGGTTACTGCAACGAATACTTACCTCCAGCAAAGATGGATACAATTAAGCGAGCCGTATTGTCCACAACAACTCGGAAGGCCTCATCTTCGTGTTCTTTTGCTCGCGCTTTGGTGTAGTCTGGCAGCGGCTGCTTTATGGCATTCCGCGCTTTCATAAACTTACCCGGCCCAAACCCAAAGCAAGCAAAAGTACTTTTCACCCAGCTCGGGAAGAACCGTGTTAGTAGCTTGCGCAGTCCGTCAGGCTCTAGATCATGGCGAATGTCGACCTGGAATAGAGCATCAGTTTAACTCATGAAAACACGTCTCACAAGTGAAACATGTTGTGAGACGCCGTACCATGATTCGAGGAATGGCTTTATATTTCGTCCCGTCGTATTCCTTGATTGTCCCAAACGGCGCCTTGGGAAAAGCCATGACAGAATTTACCGCAATCAGAGTCTCATCTGGTCCTTGTATCAGCTGCGCCCTGCGAATTTTAATCTCTAGACATGCTGTACTCCTTCAGCAGCGCGCGAATTCGCGCCGCTGGCTCCTTCACGCGATCAACCGGAAATTCTTCAATATCCCAATACCCTTCAATCGTGGCCCTCTCCCTCACGACGTCGTATATCTCCTCGGACGTTTCTCGGATTTCGTGTTGAAGTAGGCAGAGATTCAAAAGTTGCATAGATTCAAATCGTTCGAAGTTCCACTGCCCCGTTTCGTTCTTGTCATGCACTTGCTGCCAAATCGTAGACGTATCTGGTAATGCTGTTTTGTAGGGATTCACCTTTGACTGTGCCGACTTCCCGGTTTTTAGCTCCTCAGGCGGATCGTAAGTGAATTTAAGCTTTTGTCTCCTGCGCAGCTGCTTCGGAACTGGAGTCACATCTTCCCCTTTCTCCAAATCCTGATTAAGTTGATCCGCCATATACGGAGTTTGAATGTATGGGTTTCAACAAGACAGTGTAGACGATGTGACGGATATTGTTCATCGCTGCCACATCTCACTTTAAGGCAATTTTGTTGCCTTCGTATTTGTGGCGTTCGAAGCTGAACGTCGCTTAAATTAAAGCTTGATCTAGACTTGCGTATGGGGGCTAAGCAGGGAAGAGCTTACCACTCCTCAGCTTTTGTAAGCGTGGTATAGACGATGCGGCTGATCAGCTGTAGCTCAGCCGTGTGCATCAATCCATGACTGCGCCCAGTCCACTCTAATCGCAGCCATGCACCTCTCAACATCAAGATATACTAGTCCTTGCATTTTTGAAAAGCTGAAAAACAAGAGGATCGTCTGACCTGAAGTTACTGTTCCGTCTGGAATTCTGATAAATTGCGAATTCCTTGGTTGAGGGAGCGCTGTTGGCCATCCTAAATTTCAGAGCTTCAATTTCCGCGTCTCCCCGCCGTATTTCCAGATAAAAATATTGACAATGGTCTTCCAGGTATTATACTTTGTCGTGGTACTGGAGTATTTACAAGCTTATCATTTCAAGCAGGGCAGAGCCACAAAGCTTGGTACGGTGACCTCTAGCATTGTGCGGCAAATGCGTGAAATTGCTAACCACAGAGTTCTGCAGCCAAGACTCACGGCGAATATTTTGCACTTCAACTGCAAGATATTCGTTGGGCAAAGGCCTGCAAAAACTCTACTGGAGACGAGAGAGTGGTTCGCATGATGCAAGATCTCATCGCTGCGATGTGTTCGCTCAATCTAGACAGGGAGAGCGCAACTAAGTTTGAGAAAGTAGGAGAAGATGTTCAGTATGAGGATGGAATGGTCAAAGACCTGGAGGACCATCCATTACTAGGACGTCCTGATGTCCAAATTGCGTTAGACAACATTATGGAAACCCTCCCCGTCGGCGCGAAGAAGCCTACCAGAGACGTTGGGCAAATTTTGGCCTCAAACTACGAGGTTGCTTATGACGCTCTATACAAGGCCGTGCAAGCTGCTCATATTAACATCCGAGCGATTGAGACTGGCACTCAAAAGAGACATCTTGAACGCAGCGAGTACGCCGTCAGTGGAACGTCCTTGCCCAGCTCAATTTCTCCCGGAAGGCACGCTGAACGCAGCCCGTACGCATTTGAGGGAACTTCTCTGCCCTCTGGATCTCCTTCAGAGCATCCAAAACGCAGTGAATATGCTTTTGAAGGAACTATATTGCCTGATTCAGGCTGAATAGGCTCCTAAAACAATGGCTTCCTACTGTCGCCCAACTTGAGTTTAGGTCGTAGCCTTGATTTAAAAAAGACTGCTTGTATGCGCGGCTAAGGATGTGCAAAATCCATAGACACTCTCCAAGCCAACATTAAGTCATCATCCTCTGTTCATGGTATTTCCTGCACCTCTTGGATTCTCATCCTTCCAATCATCCCAAGCTCTTTGCTTCATGATTTCTGCGTCAACCTTGTCCATATCATCATCTTCTGGTTCTGGTCTAATCCCTGACTTTTCACCTCCGCCTTCAATAATACCCCCCCTCTTTCTCTCCTCCTCCAAGTACTCGTCGATGCTCATAGTCGGAAGACTGTGATCCGGCCGAAATACACCTTTCCTTAGCTCTGTTCTCTTGTCGGTCAAGGTGAATGGGCGTAATGGTTTTCCGTCCTTGCTGAGGAGGGGACCACTCCAGCCCCTTTTAAGGAGAGAGGGATCGTCTAGTCTCTCTGAATAGCCATCTTTGTATATTTCACTGCTATTTCGTTGCCTTTCGTCAGAGCTGTGTAGTGAAGGATCGCTGGGTGGCGCTGGAGGTGCCATGGCCAACATTTGTAGTTCCAATGCCATACTTTCTAATGCCTGGAACGTCTCATGTACGCAGAGAGAGATATTTGTCAGATGGAGATCGCGGAGGGCATCTTCGTCACTCTCGAGTGCGGTAGGGTTTTTACGCAGATACTGTGGCGGGGTTAGATAAGCTGGTTCTGAATGTGTAGATATATCGAGCTGCTTACATCTAATTTGTTTTTAAGTTCCTTCTGCTCTTTGAAACGCGCGATCTTTGCATTTCTTCGCGCAATAGGGTCGGTTGTTGAGGCAGTGGAGAACTTGTCTGGATCTTCGAAGTATTGCTCCATAAGTTTCGTGTCCGCCTTTGAAAGAATGTCATATGAGTCTAGGAGTTTCAAAAACCTCTCGTATCTGCTTCTCGCTGCCAAAAGGTTTTGTTTTCGCTCTCCACGAGTGAGTTTTTCTATCAGCTGCGCAAGTCGAAAGTTGATAAGCAAATACTCGAGATCTGAGGAGTTAATGTCCTCGAGCGTTTCATTTGGGCTGAATAAAGCTATTTCGTTCGCGACTTTCAAACATTCTTCGTATGATGTAATCGCCGCTGCCAGATTTTCCTGATATGCATCGCTTACTGTCGAGCTGAACTCATCCAGACCTCTCCTTCTGTCTTCCGCATCTCGGAACAGACCTCGCAAAGTCGTAGGTTCTGCAACCATGCTGTCAGATGGTTTCTGTTGAAGAGACGTCACAGGAGGAGTTGAAAGCCTTATATGGGTCGTTTCTAATCGGCGTGAAAGCGCGTCGTAGAAACAAACTCGACTTGGGAAGTTCCAAGCTTTGATGATAACATTGGTAATTCCCGTTAAAGCTTTGAAGGTCGCGAAGAAGTTCCGATATCGGCGCACTGTCAGTGTTAGTACGATCTTTGCTTCGATATCTTCGAACGGTGTCGGGTTACTGGAGGAGATATGAGAGAGCCATGAGCGAATGGTATGGGTTCAATCATTGTGTTTCTGTCGTCACAACTGACCTCACTGACGACTGTAATCGGACGCCTGTCGCAATTGTGTTTTATAACACACCTCTCTAGTGACATGGACGTCGCTTCTGGACGCGGATACATCACGAGCTCCGCATTCCTGTAACTCTTACGAAAGTCATCACCTTCAATACTCGTTTGCTGCCTCACTACTAGGCTGCTCGCGTCGTACAAATTTCATATTGTTTGATTGACTTACAGCAAAACAACTCACAAAGCCTCGCCTTGGTTCGCCTATTTTGCCTTAGCACAAACACGTCCTCAACAACTGATTCTTGTACGCATGGTTCTGCTCATCTATTCAACATATAAGGCGAAAGTCTCCCATTTCATCATTGAAGTCAAGATCAGATTGTAAATTATTGCTGATTTCTGAAGTTCTACGACGCTTCAATGGCGGCTTTCCAGATTATTACCTCCGTCATGGGCAACTACGTCCCAGACCTCGTCTCTGCTGATGCAGTCCAGAGCTCTGAAGGCAAATTTTCAGCGTGCGACATGTTATTTAAGTCTGGTGACGTACAGAAAATTGACGATACCGATGACGAGTCGGTAGGTGAGGCTGATCAAACATCAAATGCAATCGATTCCACGAGGCAGTTTCGGTTGCTTCAGCAGGAACTATTCAAAGATAAAGTTCTCGAAAGAGCTGCTGATATTGATTACGAACAATCAGAGCGAAGAAAACAGAAGCTAACAATCGGCGATGGGGGTTCAAGCGTCGGTGATTCAACGGTACAGCCATGCAAGTTTGCACTCAATGATCCGCGCGAGTATCAACTAGAACTTTACGAGCGTGCGAAGAAGGAGAATACAATTGCCGTCCTAGAAACTGGCTCGGGCAAGACGTTCATTGCTATTTTACTGATACGCCACATGCTGGACCAAGAGCTCGAGGATCGTGCCAAAGGTTACGCCCATCGCACAACTATCTTCATGGCTCCAACAAATACTCTTGTTTATCAGCAGACTGCTGTGCTTATGACTAATATCGACCAAAACATTGCGTCAAGATGTGGAGACATGAATGCCAAGAATCTACTGGAGCGTGCCGCTTGGGAGAAATGTTTAGCAGAAAACATGATAATCGTATGCACACCCACAATTCTACATCAATGCCTAGGTCACGCCCTCATAAAGATGGAACAAATTAATCTCCTGGTATTTGATGAAGTGCACCACGCAAAGAAGGACCATCCGTATGCCAAGATTGTTGAAGAATTCTATAAATCGCCACACAACCGTTCCCTTGAACGCAGACCTCGCGTGTTTGGCATGACTGCCTCGCCGATTGATGCCAAATCCAACCCTACACTTGCTGCTCTTGAACTCGAAAGGCTGTTGGACTCCAAAATTGCGACCTTTCGTCTCTCTCCCCAGTTTCGAAACAAAGCGGAAGAGATTGTATTATGGTTCCAGACTCTTCAGGACCCCTTCAAATCGCCATTGCACCTACAAATTGAACAGCATCTGTGTCACATTCCTGCGTACAAACGGCTTCTCAGAATTTCACAGAATTTCAGCTCTGAGCTCGGTCATTGGGCCGCTGATAAGTTCTGGGAAATTACTTTGAGAGAAAGTGAAAAGAATGTAGCAGAAGCACATCTTTACATGACTTGGGAGAAATATACGGATCATGGTATCGAAATAACAGATACTCAGCTTAAAGCTCTACGGCGTGCATTTGATGTTGTCCGAGGCCACCACTTCGGACTTCCAGAGGTTAGATCTCCAGACCTAAGTTCTAAGGTGCTAGAGCTGCACAGATTCCTGATTGATCACTACGAGGGGTATTCTAAAGTTCGGTGTCTCGTATTTGTTGAACAGAGGGCAACTGCTCGAATGCTTCTAGAAATTTTCTCGAAGATCGGAGCCACTTACCTAAGACCGGGTCTGCTTACTGGTCAAGTTTCGAAAGGTGGCGATGAACATATATCTTTGCAGAAACAAGTGCAAATTATGGCCAAATTTCGAAATGGAGAAGTTAACTGCCTGTTCGCGACATCCGTCGCTGAGGAGGGACTTGATATTCCAGATTGTAACTTGGTGATTCGGTTTGACCTATATAAGTCTGTCATTCAGTACGTCCAGTCGAAAGGTCGAGCTCGACACAAGAATTCGAAGTTCGTGGATATGATCGAGCATGGCAACCAGCTGCATCAAAGCATGAGGACTCTTGTTCGTCATCAAGAACTCAAACTTCGTCAATGGATAGAAGCTTTAGATCCTGAGCGACGACTTACAGGCAATGATGACGGATTAAAGGGCATTGAAAGGCTCGGGAGATATTTCATCCATCCCAAGTCGCAGGCAAAGTTAACTTACTGGTCTGCACTTGAGGTTCTGTCGCTCTTTGCATCAACATTAGTATGCTCTCTGACTTCATTTCTACTGAAAGCTAACATAATAGCAGCAAACAGAAGATATAGATGCTATTACTGAGCCAAGTTATGTTGTTTCTGCTGAGAGTGGGGGATACTTTTGCGAAGTCGTTATGCCGAAACACTCCCCCATTCATTCAGCATTTGGCCTTCGTTACCCGAGGAAAGCGCTAGCAAAACGTTCAGCAGCTTTCGAAATGTGTATCAAACTCTTAAAGGGCAATTTTCTGGATAGTAATCTCCTACCGAAATCAAGAAAGATTAGGCCTGGAGATGCGAATTCACGTCTCGCGGTGAATAAGAATAATCCCGGTAAATATAAAATGCAACTGAAGCCATCTCTGTGGGCAGCCGGCCGAGGATCTATTCCAGAAGTCGTACACCTTCTGATAATCGATATGCTGGAGGGACTTGAACGACCGCATCGACCGCTAGGACTGCTCACGCGAAACCCACTGGATGACTTTCCGTCATTCCCGCTATTTTTGAACACATATCAGATATCACACGTGAAGACAATATCCAAGCCTGGGTTTAGGGTCAATGATGAAGAAATCACAACTTTTACAAAATATTCTCTACTTTTATGGAATCACGTCAACGCAAAAGTCTTCGAAAACTCTCCTTCCAAAATGTCTTACTGGATCGTCCCAATACTGAAGAAATGGACAACAGTCAGTAATAGTCGCGACTGCATAGATTGGGAGGAAATGGAATCTGCAATTCTTGGCCGCTTTCAACAATGGACACCTGGCATGCCAGTTGAGCTTATTGAGAACAAATTTATCGTTGACCGTTGGGCAGGCAACCGTCGGTACTTCAGCCATAGAGTTGAACCGCGCCTAAAGCCACTTGACGAAATACCAGATCAGACGGCCGAATTCAAAGGACATGGTTCCTGCATAAGGCAGAATATTCTACAATATAGCGTGAGCCTATATGGCAAGAAGTTTGATGAAGCGTGGCCTAAATGGGACAAGACACAACCAGTCATGGAGTGCACAAAATTGACGTACCGTCAAAATTTTCTTGCCCCTCCTACTAAGCGTGAGGAAGATGATGCGACAAAACGAAATAAGAAAACATACTTATGCCCCGAACCTTTGATTATTTCCGCTGTAAGTTTGGGCTGGCTATAAGCGTTCGCTTGCTGATTACTGCTAGCTTTCTTCTGATGTCGTCACCACGTTTCTTGTTTTTCCGGCCATAATCCATCGCATTGAAGATTACCTGATAGCTTTAGAGGCGGCCAATCTCATCGGCATCGACGTTGGGCCAGCTCTTGCGCTTGAAGCAATGACAAAGGATTCGGAGAATAGTGAAGACCTTGATACTGAGGACAAGTCAAACTTCCGTCCAGGAATGGGTAACAATTATGAACGTCTTGAATTCATGGGAGACTGTTTCCTGAAAACAGCAACATCGATTTCTTTATACGCTTCAAGGCCACACCATGATGAGTTCGATCTCCATGTCTCGCGGATGCATATGATCTGTAATCAGAATTTGATGAATTCTGCGCTGGAGTTTCAGCTCACCGCATATGTTCGATCAATGGCTTTCTCTAGGTAAGCTTTTTATCGATTATGATCGTTCTTGTCTAAGAGATTGAAGGCGTTTATGGTATCCCGAAGCCATTGAGCTTGTTGCGGGTAAAGGTGCGGGTTGCACAAAAAACACGGATAACTTCAAACATTCCCTAAGTAATAAGACAATTGCCGATATTTGCGAAGCATTGATAGGAGCGGCATTTGTTCAGCACAACAATCCCAACCAATGGTTACCACATACTTGGAATGATGCTGTTAGAGCAGTAAGCAAACTGGTTCGCAATCCGAACCACACAGCACAAACATGGGCCGAGTACAAGGAGCTTTACGAGCCTCCAGGATGGCAAATTGCTGAAGCCACAGCACCTCAGCGCGATTTACAAGAGAGAATAGCGAGGCAGATGGGGTATAACTTCCGTTGGCCGCGACTACTACGTTCAGCCTTTTCTCATCCGTCCATGCCGCACATTTGGGAAAGAGTGCCATGTTACCAGCGCCTGGAGTTTTTGGGCGATGCACTGCTAGACTTAGTGTGCATCATGTATCTCTTCTACAATTATCCGAACAAGAATCCTCAATGGCTTACCGAGCACAAGATGGCTATGGTATCAAATAAGTTCTTGGGCGCGCTTTGCGTTAAACTTGGCTTCCATCGGTATGTACGCCACAGCAGTCCCTCGTTAGGAATGCATATAAAAGCGTATGTCGAAGAAGTGGAGCTAGCCGAAAATAGCCCTAGTGAGAAGGGAGGACTTGACTATTGGTTGCATGTTAAAGATCCTCCAAAGGTATATTCTAAATCTTGATAACTTTCAAACTCGTATAGCGCTAATTTGTTACAGTGTTTGCCAGATGTTGTCGAAGCATACATTGGAGCACTTTTTATTGACTCAGGCTTCAATTTCAGTGAGGTTCAGTCTTTTTTTGATATTCACATCAAGCCATTCTTTGTGAATGTAGCGATCTACGATAGCTTCGCCCACGACCACCCTGTTACGTTACTGCATCATAACCTCTCACAAGTATATGGATGCCAAGCTTACCAAATTCTTTGCAAGCACGTTGAATCCTCAATTGCAAATGGAAAATCTAAGGTTATGGCTGGTCTGATTGTGCACCGGGAGATTGTAGCAACTGCAGTGGGAGAGAGTGGGCGATATGCGAAGGAACGAGCGAGCAGCCAGGCCAATCACGAATTGCAGGGTCTCACAGTCAAGGAATTCAAACGAAAATTTGGATGCAACTGCAAATCCCCGAGTATTGGTGAGATGGCGAAGGAAAAGCCTTGGTCAATGAGCCTGACCGAAAGAAAAAAAATGTACAATCACCATTCTTTAGCAGTGCTTTGAAATGTTCGGGAGCCTTAAGAACTCCTCCGCGTATCTCGTAGATTTACCAAGCTTCCCGGGTTACGTCGAATGGCAATGCACAAAAGGTGTTGACAGACTCTTTCTTCAGCGTTAAACACCAGATAGTTAATTCGATGATTGGTATGTAATCTTATTGAGACCATTAAGCAAGAATACGCTTCGTGACTAGTTATTTCTATAACGCGAAGACCCCTAAAACGTTGCAAATGTTTTTTTGAGCTCATTTGATCTTATCTGCATCAGATACCTCTGTAGAAACGTCGTCTCTCTGGCTGATGATGACACTTCCCGCAATAAGAAAACTAGCTCCAACCCACCATAGGAGTGGCAAATTTTCGCCAAAGATAATTGCACCAAGTAAAGCCGTGACAATGAAATTGCTTGATGTGTTAACAATATTGACCCTAATTGCTGACGGGCTTGCAGTCAAAGCTTTTGTGTATAGTGCCCACATTGTTCCAGTGAACAAGAATGAAATGCCAAAAACGGCAACGCGGAGAACGAGATCAAGATATTGGCGATATTGCAACGGCAAATATAGAGAATCTGCAACTCGAATAGACAATGATGTCGTAAGATCATTGGTCGTTCTGTTGACAACGTTAGACTGTCCGCCATATCGAAGGCTGCAATTACAGTTTTGCGAAAATTGCGTTGAGCGCGGCGCAGGTTCCCGACGCAACAGCAATGGACTGCCATGGCGTTTTCAAGCCTTGAGATATCGATTTTGTCTTCGATTCTGACATGGTAATACCCGTCAATATGATCAAAATGGTGATGTGTGTGGAATGTTGTTCTCGACGTGGGTAGAGAGGATCGAATCACTTTCAAGATCTAGAGTCCGTGCGTCACAACATCCTTCACTAAATAATTTACTAATTTATGGACTCCGTCGGACTTTATGGTCGGATAACACTCTTTGATGTTGGACGTGAGATGATTTCAGCGCAGATCTATATGGTCTAGCTTTAATTGGTGTTTCTAAGTAGTATTTAATCCCATAAAAATGTCATCAGGCGCCTCCAGCCAGTGATTTGTGGTTCAGCTTCTTCCGGATGCAGCTGAACTTCTTCCAGTGCCTCCCGTAAAGCGATTTCCTTTAAGGGAACCATTTTCGTCCCTTTGGCAATCTTCCATAAGAAATAAGCTGTGATTACTAATGGTATGTCACTTTCAGAGGAAATTGTCAGTAAAATAAGTACAGATTTGTGGGGTACGGAGCAAACGGACAGATAGGCTGACACAAAGAAGCTTGTTGACCAATTTCCTTTGGTGAATACGGGATATCCGTTTGTCAGCAGTATTACCACACAGAAAGCGAGTGCTATTGGCGTTGAATATACTGCGAATATTTAGACCCAAACTATACCTACTAGGTTGCATCAACTCACCACTCCATGAGTTATGCCAAGGTAATTGAGCCAGCGGGATATCTTGGTTTTTCATCGCAAGAATAAGTCTTTGGTGATTTAGCAATATGGTGATCCAACTGATGAGCACGCCACAAGCGGCGAGATCCAAGAACCAGTAGAATACCGTTAGAGCGCCGTTACTGAGACTCATGAAAGCTAGAAACATGAAAGCAGTTTGTAGCATCACACATACATAGGGAATTCCCCAGCTCGTGGTTTGGAGAAAAATACTTGGAGCCTGTCTCTTTAAGGCTAGGCCGTATAAAACCCTCGTACCTGAGAGAAGTGCTTGATTAGACGATGACCATGCGGATGTGATTAAAACGGCGTTGACGATAGACGGTATGGCCTTGAAACCAGCTCCACTTGCAGCTATCACAAAGGGGCTCTGCGTAGCCGTGCCAGATGCGTCATTGAGACGCGGATCATCACTCGCAACGAGCATACCAACGATCAAAACGGCGAATATGTAAAACAAGGAAACGCGAAGGAAAACGCGTTTACATGCTCCAGGAATCGCTTGTCTTGGGTTTCGAGTTTCTGCTGCTGCCATTGCGATCGACTCGACGCCAGCGAATGAGAATACCGCATTGCCCATCACCCGCCAGTATCCAAGAAATTTCCCCCATTTTCCGCTTGCTATGTACTCAACAAACGGTCCAGGATCTTTCCAATGTTTGAAGCCGATGCGTTCTTGTCCTGGTAACACTCCAAGATCGATGACGACGCCAATCACAATGAGAAAGATGATCAGGAGTATTTTGAGAATGGCAAACCAAAACTCAACTTCGCCATACACATGTATCAGTGACATGCCAATCAGAGCCGTCAATAGAATGGTGGTGATGATCCAGACAGAGGGGTTGATGTCCGTCCAGTATTGGAACAGCACACAAATAGCGCATATCTCGGCCGGTATAGACAACCAGTTACCATATACGATGTTATAGCTTTAGAGACGATTTAGCAGATTTTCTCACTGCGTACTTGAGATTCACTGACCCTATTGCAAAGCCCAAAGCAGGGTCAATCAAGAATTCTGCGTGCCTGACAAATGACCCTGTAACTGGCAACAGCGCTGTGACTTCACCGAGGGCGAACTGAACCGCGCAGACAATTAATCCCACCGTTGCATAACCCAGTAAAGCACCAAGCGGTCCGCCAGTTTGGATTGCACCTCCAAGTCCCAGAAAGAGTCCGGTGCCCTTCGTTCATTAGCTTGCGTGAAATTTCTAAACCCGACGAAGCGAACGTACAATGGCCCCTGCGAGGGCAATCAAGCCGATATGCCGCTGATGCAAACCGCGAGCAAGATGTTGTCTCTCATCTTCAGTCACGAAGTCACCTTGGTGATCATAATGTCCTTCGCTACCAAGAAGAGGCTCAGACTCATCGTTGCCGACAGCGGCCTGTATATCTTGGCGGCGACGAGAATGTTTGAATGTCATAATGAACGTGGGAGCCTAGGGAAGAGCTGGAGGACATAAGGAAGCAGACTCGAGGATCCCTTTTTTTGTGCAAAGAGAGTATTGCATAGGCGCGGTACAACTCTTATTTTTAGTCTTGTAAGATTGGCGGACTTTTGGTTCAAGCTGCGCTGCTCGGACCGATCCTCCCGGCGAATGGACAGTTGCTTCCGGACAACACAAATTTCTTTGTAGCCTTATTCGAAAATGAAATCTCTTTGAACTTGGTTCTGCGTAGGAAGAAAACACTATTTTTACATTCAGTGAGTTTTTTTGATAAGACTTAGTCATATAAAATACTGCAAGCAAAGTAACAAAAATTAGAGACCATTGCAGTGTAGGTTTATCGAAACCAAGGCAGTGGATGACGCGATCTGAATCCCACGCAGACAGGACTTGTGCCCTAGAAATAACGACGTCTAAGACCTAGACCACGAGTCATCCACTTCTGACAGTCTCTAGAGGTAGAGGGTCATCAAGGCCGTAATTTCTTGCTTGCCATATAGTTTTTCAATGTGAACGAGTATGCGTGATGAATCGAGAGAATTCCTCGAGCTCTTCATGTAACCACGTCGTATTCACCTCATGCACACAACCATGGACTTCTGATTAGCAGTCGAAAAAGAAAGCTAGATGAGACAACTTCCGCAGTCAATGTGCATTTGTAACCGCTTGAGACCCGTAAATGACATTGAATTGCCTTGTTCTCATGTACAATTCGATATTAAGATCATACTGGACTTGGTCGCTCAGGCAAACTTGCCAGCCCCGCGTACAGAAATGATAATTGATCATGAGGGATGCATTAGCAAATCTTCTCGCTACCCTTTGTCCTTCCGCTTTCCATTTTAGCGCTTCTGCTGCCAAACTGAATTGCCCTTTTCTTCTCCTCCGCTACGTTGGCCATTCCGAGTTTTTTGGCTATGCATCTCAGGATGAGTTTATCGTCTAAAGCTGCATGTTCAAGTAGTCCTTCCTCATTATCGGTTTGCGCAAAACCAAACCCTACCTTTTCCCAGATTGGCGCGTTCATAGCCCATGCAATGACACCTTCGTCAAGATATGGATAACGAGCTTCCTTTCCCCAACGAGAAATAACTCTATCATCACGTCCAAGATTACGTTTACCAAGTCGATCCACGTCTAACTGAAGTTCTTGCAGCAAGGCTGAATATCCGCCTCGTCTGTAAGCTAAGGCGTGGCGCTGATATCCTCCGAAGAGTTCATCGGCACCCAAGCCGCTGAGCAAGAATTTACTCTGGGTCGGACCTCTTGCAGCGAAAAAAAGAGCCATAGCTATCGAAATGTCCATTTCTGTGTCATGAGGGTGGATGAGCGCGCTGATTTCACCTCTGAACCTCATGGAATCCTCAAACGGAACGTTGATACATACTAGGTTGAAGCATCGGTTTGGACAAATTTTTCGCAATTCCGCGAGAGACTGTCGCGCTGTGATGCGGTCCGGACAAGCTTCGTAAGGAGAGGTACCAGTACCGATTTTCTTGTGGACTCGTGGATTCTCGAATGCCACATTAAGGAGATCGATCATCGTGTCATGGTGCAGACATTCATGCGCTAGGCGTGCCAGTAGAGTGCAGTCAAGTCCCCCGGAGAATAAAATTGCAACTGGTGGGTGTTTGAGATTGAGACGGTCTGGTAATCTCAGCTCTATGGACGCGGTAAGAACTTTAAGTAGAGACGATACCGCACATGAATTCTCATGTAATCGTGATAAGATGGCTGTAGAAAGAGCTGCATCGTTTACAAGAGGTGGTAAAGCTGTATTTATGCACGACCATGGCACTGTGATAGATCCTTCCTCTTCGTCAGCGGCTAACACGTAGGGAGTTCTGCTCGCAAAAGATGTCAAATAGCCGGCATGGAAATCTGATAAGAGGGCTTTAGTGATTTCCAGAGAGTAGATGCCGTCCGCTTCTACCTCTTCCCAATGTGCAGATATTGTCTTCATTGCTACACTGGACAAGAAAAGCGAGCCATTTTGATCCCTGCTCCAAAGGAGTGATCTTCGACCCACGTAATCTCGTCCAAAATACAGGCGACTATTCGGTCGGCTAAAGTAAACGAATGCAAAAGGCCCTCGTATTTTACTTAGAATCTGTATTGTTTTCTTGTGTAAGTCTTGCGCAACGCCTGAGACTTCACTCAACCTTTCGGCAATAAATCGCGTGTCAGATCCAGCAATTCGTTTCCCGTCATATTTCCATGCCTCACCATTCCAGCAAAGCCAACCGAGATCACCAGATAACTCGAGCGGCTGGAGGACAGGCTTATCATCTTCATCGTGACGAAGTCCGAGAACTGATGCTGCGAAGGTCATGCGGATCAGACCAGGAGCTGTTTCATTTGGATCAATGAGGCTCTCGTGTATGCAGCCATAATGATCGGGGCCACGTTGTCTGAGGAGCAGCTCCATTTCATGGCTAGGTGTAATGGGCTCTTGCGCCCTGATCTCGCAATAGATCCCACACATGGTGGTCTCTTTGACGAAGCTGGAACTGATCAAAGAGAGTCCTTGGTGCTTGAGATCAGATGTATGAATCAAAATATCTTGCGCGTAACCTCGTCAAGAATCGAAATGTAGTAAGGTTGCTATCATGGTGGTCTTGTGTCGCAGTTGCGTGTTTGCGAAAAATGCATCAATTTCGTAAACGGCATGGAGGAAAATTTGAAGCAGTATGGTCGGAGACAAGCCTGCGATGCTTTAAAGTAAAAACACAGTGCTCTTCGCGCATGAAGGACTGTGAAAGGAGCACACAAAGACGGGATTGAAAGTTTGCTGTTCTCGATGGTGCAGTATGTATAAATTTTGGTGCGGAAAGAAGTGGGTAGCCAATGCAACACGGACCGAACAGACGCAACCAACCCTGCAGCAAGGAGTGTGGGCATCGTCATCGCCCAAGCTCCGACATCCCACGTGCTGCCTGTCATCGGGAAAAAGCCCAGCGCTGTAAATAGAGCCGTAGCTTTCTTCTACTGCTTCTTCTGCCTCTTTTAGTCTCTCTCATGTACATGTACGAGTTGAGCCGCGTTGCCGATGTCTCCTGAGCCCGTACAGCCAGCCAGCTCATACGCGGAAGCGGCATCGACGCATACGTCCCAACAAGCAACCCAAGATCTTGCTGAGAGGCATCTGAGCCAAAGTACCAGCGCTAAGCCGAGTGCTGGTGGCCAGGATGACCAAAATACCAAAGAGCAGCCAATAGAGGTTCTGTCATTGTCTCAAGGCGGCGAGCGAGCATATCACGAGAAGGCTATGGAAGACTCAGAGATTGACGAGACGGCAGATAGAAAGAATAGTAGACTAGGGAAAGAGCTGTCCGACGAGGCTGTTCAACATGAACAACAGTCCCCTGTACAAATGGTTGTTCCATCACCGTCATCGCCTCCTCCACTCAACGGCGACTTGGCTGCCGTTGTTGAAGATAATTCGCCTGAACCTCCCCCGCCTCCCCCAAAGGACGAGAAATACATGGGAAAGGGCAGAGGGCTTGGAATAGGTCTGGATACTGCTTTTGAAGATGAGAAGCATTCGACGAAGGGGTTGAGCGGTCAGCAGCCAAATGTCCCGTCAACCAACACTCAGCCAGAAAGTGGCGACGGCATGGATGATTCTCAGTCAGAGATAGCGAGTATCATGGAACAGTTTGATGATGGCAAGGAAGTTCCTGATGAGCAGGCAATTATGTCTCCTCGGTTGGAACTAGGACAGCCGTTTGGAGTTGCAACGCAACATCCACCACCTCGGAAATCGAGCCTCGAACCTATTCGTACGGGTACGCCGGATCTGCAACTGAGTTCGAGCCAGACGCTTAAATCACCACCTCCAAGAACATCTTCGCTTGCAGGCCCTCCAGCTCCAGGGAGTCCCGCTACGTCTCTCAAGCAGCAAAGCATTGCATCTCCACCTGCGGAAGCCGAAACAACTCTTACGCCACAGATATCAAAAAGTCTTCCCCCGCCACCGCAACCCGACCCGGAAGCCGACCTTCCCTTTGACTTTCAACGTTTTCTCGACCAGCTTCGCCATAAATCAGCAGACCCTGTCGCCAAGTATCTTCGATCCTTTCTTCTTGAATTTGGCAAGAAGCCGTGGATGGTGCATGAACAGGTTAAAATCATATCCGATTTTCTCGAGTTCATTGCTAAAAAGATGGCCCAATGCGAGGTTTGGCGCACCGTATCCGACGCTGAATTTGACAATGCTCGAGAAGGCATGGAGAAGCTGGTCATGAACCGGTTGTACACGCAGACATTTTCGCCAGCAATACCACCTCCAGAACCGACTACTGGAAGAGGAAAACGGAGAGTTGGAGAGCCGCCAAGAGTGGGAAGGAGGGGACAGCATCAGGAAGACGTCGAGAGAGACGAGGTTCTGGCGCAAAAGGTTCGAATTTACGGCTGGGTGAAGGAAGAACATCTGGATATCCCACCAATAGGAGAAAAGGGTAGGAAGTTCATGGATCTCGCCCAGAAGGAAATCCTTAAGATTAAGAGCTACCGCGCACCAAGGGATAAGGTCATTTGTATCCTCAACTGTTGCAAGGTCATTTTTGGCTTCCTGCGCAACAGTTCATCAGATCAGTCTGCAGACTCTTTCATACCCCTCCTCATCTACGTTGTTCTTCATGCCAACCCGGAAAACCTTGTCTCTAATGTGCAGTACATCCTCCGTTTCAGAAACCAAGACAAACTAGGTGGTGAGGCGGGCTACTATATTTCCTCGCTTATGGGTGCTATCCAATTCATAGAAAACTTGGACCGTACAAGCTTGACTATCACGGATGAAGAATTCGAAAAGAACGTCGAGGCAGCTGTGTCAGCAATAGCCGAGAAACATCCACCAGATGAGCTGGCGCCACCACCATTACCGGGTGGAAAACCCCCGCCATCCCCACGATTGATGCCAAGTGAGAAATCCACGCTTGCACGAGCAGAAGTCACGCCAAGGAACAGCATGGATGCCGAACAGTCGACTCCCCGTCGCTCTACGTCCCTGCGCGCGAATGGCGCTGTCTCAAAGACAGATGATGAATCGGAAGACAACGCTGCACTAGCTGTGCTACGCAGCATACAACGTCCGCTGTCAAGCATTGGTCGCATTTTTGGTGACGACGGATCTTCGGGATCGTCAGGACCCGCAGGCACTCCATCCAGATCCCCTGCACCTCATTCAGGTGTGAGCGAGAAGAACACGTCAAAACAGCAACCTAGTGCAGAAGAACTTGCGGCGAGACAAGCAAGCGCAGAGGCAAAGCAGGCCAGGGAAATCAGTGCGAGGGAGGAGAAGAACTTGGTGGAAACACTCGGAGGCATGTTTCCTCAGCTGGACAAAGAAGTCATTGTCGACGTGGTGAGGGCTAACGAGGGAAGGTGCGTTTTATTCTCCGTCCTAACTTTTCGTACCATGGAATCGTCTCTTAACATCGATCACAGGGTTGGTAGAGCTGTTGATGCCTGCCTTGCATTGAGCGCGTCATGAAACTGCGTGATGATTCAAATCTTTTCCAGCCATGTGATGGCCATGATGCATAGAATATGGCGTTGTAGGCTACAAGCAATTGTGATTGGCGCAATATACCTCTTGGCTTCCGAGTATCGTTTGTAGAACATACAGCAGCTGACGAGCAATCAAATTTAAGCTCAAGTGCTCCTGGACATTTGACCTTTCTTCTTGGCCATATTTCTGCCCCTTTCAAGCTGTAAGCGGCGAATAGAGAGTTTTGCGGTCGAAAAAAAATTCTCTTCGAACAAAAATGGCATATCGACTACATACTCCCGCTGAAAGAGTACAAAACGGAGCTGCTAAACTTACTGTGCCAGGGACAGTCTGGCATTGAGCCAAGTTTAGGCCAGGTGAGGCAAAACGAACAGACTTCTCAGCTTCAATAGGGTGGACGGTCTCCCCCTAGGAGCATTCGATAGCCATATCGCGAATAATTCATACACCAAAAATCGCGTCCGACTAGCTTCGAAGCCTCAAAAGACTACGTTTTACTCTGTTCGAACCGCCAAATCAAAGACATGAGTCTCCAACCAAACGCTAGACATTTGGTTTCCGAAGGCGACTGTATCAAACTTTTGTGACAGCTTCTATTTTGGTCTAGAATGAAGCTCCTACTATTCTCACTGAAATATGACAATAACATAGGGCCATTCATGAGTGAAACACTGTGGGGCTGCAATAAAGCAACTAATTTGTTGTACGTGTATCTCTCGGTATAGGCACCGGCAAAATCTTTGTTACTGAGATTGATCAACTATTTGGAGGATCTGGGTCTTGAATTAGCAAAAGAATCAGCAATACGCATTGAAACAGATAGCATCAATGTCTGCAATAACGGCAAGAAGTATGAGGGCGATAGCATCGCATAGACTCCGTACGGCCATCTATGAGGACGACGACGCCGACGCCGACGCCGACGCCGACGCTGCATTGAACAGTGCCCGCGTTGCTTGTAGGGTCCAGTCTCGCACTCGAAACAGTGCCAGTCAGAACAGGAATAAACGACGAAGGCTGCGTTGTCCACGGGCCTTCCAACATCGATCCGTTCACACGCCAGCAAGCACATCGGCCCGTGGTGCAGGAAGGGATTGTTCTCAGCTGGATGCGCCGAGGTGTGACATCCAGGTACGAAGAACGGAGCCGGCGCCAGGTGTTACTTACGAGTATCGTCGAACGAAGATCGGACGTGGATGGGGCCTAGAGCCGCTGGCAAAGGAGCCAGAGTCTCGCCGGCGAAGGCCGCTTCGCGGCGTGTCACCAGTTTTGGCCCGAAATTTCTCTCTTAGGATTCACACTCGCCGGGGCCACGTACACAATCTGCTTGTGAGACGCGGGCACGGTTTGCACGTATGACGCGTCAGCGACATTGCGGATTGCGGTCCTCCTTGGCTCTATATGAAGGCTTTAAGACGGGACTGTGGAGGAGTCTCCCATGGTGCAAGGTTGATAACCCTCGCCGCGCCACGGTTTTTCGTAGAATTCAAGCAATCGGCGGATTCCAACCTCCCATTGCAGGCCGTTCTGCAGCTGATGCCTAGTTCCTGTCACAGCGTAGTATCTTGCGGGATCCCGATCCTTCTTCGCCTCGATCTTCTCTTCTTTCAGGAGCTCGACGAAAGCCACGCGCGATTTCGCGGGCCTCACTCTTGTTCACGTTCTGAGTGACGGGGCGATCATTTTGGCCGAAATTGATTCGCAGTCCAGAACCGAAAGACCAGCTTCTGATGCGCAGCAGTATGTTTTGGAAGGACCTGAGCAAGAAATTTTGCCGAAAAGACCATGCGGAGGATTCTATGTGGGGCATTTGTCTCTCAAACTCGACCACCCTTGTGAGTTCGACATGCGTCGCAGAAAGAATGCGCGCTTTACTAGCTGCGTAGACGGATGTTATGACATATTGGTAGCCAAGAAGCTAGAAAAAACATGCGGACTGTCATCTACGGGCTTAACCTTGAGCCAATTCATGATCACATCGAAGCTGAACTGGTTATCGACCATGCTACATCAGAACGAGGCTTGCTTTGTGCTTCGCTTTTCCTTTCTGATCAGGGTACATATGCGCAGAAGCAAGGAGTTGCAGCGCACAAAACAAGGGCGTTAACCCAGACATTGTCTACTCCTTCGCTCAAGACGAGGAGGCTCAGCGCGCCACCACTCGAGTGGCCGTCGAGGACGACGTCGTGCTGCTCCTTCAGCCGAACAAAAATTGTTCACTGCAGCGAGGTCATCTGCAAAAGCATGCTTTGACGCAAAGTACATTCGTATATAGTTCGGACACCGACTCGCACCTATTGGCCCGTACAGTGAGTCAACAATGGCGGCCCGACTCCGGGCGAGCTGAAATGAGTGGCTCATCATGGCCCCGATAGGAGAGAGCACAGCGCGGCATGTGTCTCACCGCAAGAAACTGCATCCGTTCGGGCTAGACGTGCGCCGAACTGCGTCCTCCACGGGCGAAAAAAGATGGGCGTCTTGTCCGTGGTTTGCGATGCGATGTATGCTTTGCTAGGCTCGGCGCGTAAGTGGAGAGCTCCAGGTCGCCAATTTCGTTCGGCCCTTGCGCCCACACGACTCCTTGGGGCAGCCATTGGGCCCTCTAGGTCACGCTTGGTCGATAGAACGATACTGGTCGCATCTCACTCCGTCCAGGTGCCGAAATGGGCGGATTGTGTAGGCAGCTGAATAAGGCTGGAAGTCGCCGAGAGTGCCGTGCATAGAACAGATCGTCACCTCGCAGCAGAGCTTGTGTCGTGTGAGGGGTTGATTGGGGACTCTAGCGACGAGGTTTAGTCTCAACGAACCGGAAAATGCTCACGCCGATAAGAACAAATACGGTGGTTTGAACTTGGGCAAACTGAGATGATAGCTTTCCTGGATATGTAATTTGCAGTCCCGGCTTTCTTACTTTCGATTGTTGATATCTTGCCAAGGCCTTTTTCCAAGACGAGGAAAAAAAAAAGAAAAGAAAAAGATAGCCTCAGAAACCATTGGATCGAATCGGGCTCAATGTACCTTATACAAAGCCTCGCAGATACGAAAAAGCGTTCCATGAAGCTCATCTAAAACTTTAGACCAGCTCATCATCGCTTTCCAAACAGTCTCTCGCGTCTCTCGAACTGCAGAAAAGCTTGCATCAAATCGCACGCCGAAACAGTCGAAGTACGAGCGACACGACTGACTGATCGATGACAGAAGATCCCATCCAATAACGCGTCACGACAAAGAATCTTGTTGTGTGCTAAAGCAAGACTTCGAGCTAATTACGACTTTCTTGGATTTAGCTTGGTCGTAATCATCTATTTTCGGCAGGTCCGGCTGCATAAGGCTGAAATCGGTTCGTGCGACTCAGATTGCAGGCAGAGAGCGGAAATGCATTGGGCTGGCTCCCCATCATCCTTACTTCACGACAACTATTTTTGGGTCTTACAACTTGGTCATAGTCGTCAGCAGTTGCAGTGGCTCGAACTGGACCGCCAAGTGAATGACGCACTCTCCGGTCTGCATACTAGCGGACGAGCTAGACATCAAAGGTTGAAACGGAGTCAATGGTGCAGCTCTGTGGCGTGAATGCGGTTTGAGAGAACAGAAGCAGGCCAGAAGCAAAGAAAAGGGTTTGGAATCCGCTGCCTCTGACTCGAGACCTTCTCTGGATCCATGAATTCTCAGCCACCAAAGCCAGGCACATGAAATGCCACGAGCCTCGGTGTTGCTTTGTGTTTTCTGTCTCTGCACAGTGCCGTGTGCGCAAACACGAGGACGAGAGAAATCGATTGTGGGCATGACGATCCCTTCTCGAAAGTTATTAAACTAGCTTGCTGAACGTCACGTTTTTCTTTGCTCAAGATAATTTTGGCAAGCTGACGAGTTCCAAAATCGATAAAGCTTTCTCGTGATGGACAGCTGGTCACTCCAGGGTCCGAGTGGTCAAATACTGTGTAATTGAAGGGCGGGACCTGCAACCAGGATATTCAGCACACCAGGGTACGTATTGACAAGGCCTGCGGCCACAGACCTGGTAAAAAACACAGCAGATCCTTCTGAAGCACTCGAAAATCTCGGCTAGGGCCGAAGGACTGGCTTGGGGATCACCAGTTACCTGGCTGAATTATTCTAGATTGTTTCCCACGGGTGGTTTTTCTTCACCGATCTGCGGTTTGACTTTTGGCGTTTGTGATCAGCGCTAGCAAGCGGGTGGAAATCAATGTCGAAACCATCTCTCAACGCTAAGCGCTGACGTCGTGACGTCTGCTTTAAGGCTGTTGCTTTACACGCTTCTCCCGTCAAAGCTTCCTGGAGAGTTTGAAAGGCTTTTCAGGGTTGTGACGATAGTACAACTCCTTGTATTCCAGAATTAGCGTCCAACAGGACCAGTAATGCTGTCAAGGGCCTTAAGACATGTTTCAATAGAAGCGTAGAAAATGCCTTGTAATTAATAAAGGTTTGTCTTGCCCACAGCCGATACAGAGCCATGGCACCAATCCGGCTAGAGCGCGTCTGAGATCCTGCACATTCGGTTCCAGTATCTCGACAGCTGGGATGAACGACTCATGGCCGAACCTCTGACGAGACCTTTTTCACGTTTGGTAGGAGTAAAACGAAATAGCTGGGATGATTCTATCATTTCGGTTGAGCCTCGGCAGCGCTCTTGTGGGGAGAGGGGAAGGGGGAAGAACAATAATGAGGCAGTGCAGTTCCAAACTTTGGGTGATGTGCCTCAGGCGACTGCTAGACTGCTTCAGATTAAGCAAAGTGCGACCACCACTTTTTTTTTTTTTCAATTTTAGTATTCAAGAAGGGTCGAAGCGTCCTGATATGGATAATTTGCGGCCTCTTCAAGGTTGAGGTTAGTAGTCTGCAGAAGAGACGCAAGGTCTAGGGAAGGGAGCAGATTTGAGGAAAGACGGGCGGCCAACTTTCCGTATGTAGAATGACCTCAATGATCCTACTGTGGTTTGGGCCAATTGCACTCCCCAAACGTAACGGGTGCTCGCAATTGCTGAATAAAGGAGACTGGAAACGTCCAATGAAGGCATTTTTGGTGTGGCACACGCACATGTTCGTCTTCACGATCGAAATGAGACTGGGAGCATTGTCCTCGCGTTTGAACCCTGCTGGGCCCTTTGGTACAGAATCTATCGTGTTCATTTCCCCCGCAAAAAAGCTTCGGAGTCATGCAGACGAGACATCTTGGACACAAAGAAAAGAGGCTCGGCGGAACGAAAGGAAAAAAAACAAAGGAAATTGGATGCTGAACAAACAAAGGCCTTTGAACGAACATCATTCCGAGCAGAAATTCGGAGAGGTTTCAAGAAATGCTCTGCAGTTCGTCTGGAGGTGGGCAGAAGGTGGGAGGAATGGCCGCGTTGCCAACACGCAATCTTAAGTGGAGCCTTTTTGTCGCTCGTGAATCGGAAACCAGACAATGGTCAGATAGCTCCCCTGCATGAGCCCAGCGAATGGCACCAGCAGCGGGACCGTTGGGTAATTAAGCTCCCCTCTGCGCGGCTGATTCCATGACGTCGAGGGCTGCACGGGTCTCAACCGCTACAAGAGCCAGTGCAGTGCGACTAGAGACGTGCGTGTCCCACTGAGGGCAATTTAAGAACCTTTATCATGTGCGTGGTTTTGTTTCTTGCTTAGACTGAACGTATTGGTTGCCAAAGCTGTCCTGTACGTATTCTGCAGCGGGCAGTATTTCGTTCTTATTTTTAGCTGAGGTTGGGTTACCGAGGAGCAGTGGCTGGCACGTCCATTGCTGATGGGGAATGCGCCTGCGGTAAAGGCTACATGGTCGCCGTCCATTATGGAAAGCTTCTTTTCGTTGCGTGTGCTCTGAGGGGCGCAAAGCTTCGTGCTGGGGCACCGGACGATAGATTCAGTGCGACGTGCGCTGGTGGACATTTTCCTCACACATGGCCACACACAGGCTCGTCTCCTCTGTCATTCTCGAGGAGTGGACAAGACGTTTGACGAGATCATGACCGCGTGAAAATGGACGAAGCGCCGGAAAGTGTTGCAAGGCGGGCGTGCATGGCTGCTCGGGCATTTTAAAGCGTGCTGCTAACAAACGTCGCGGAATAAGCCACGGCTGGATCTCGTTGCGCTTTAGTGGAGCGACCAAGGCATGATTTGCCAGGCCACGAATGCATCATTCAGCTACTGTACATCAGGTCTTTGATGCGTAGCCTTGAACAAGTCAGTGCATGGCATCGGGCCCGATTCGCGATCTTTTGCTGGCGGAACAGCGTTGAGGGCGGGCTTTGCTGGCATGGGGAGGGGTGATGGGCGCGTGGGAGCTGTGTATACAGCACCAGTGCGCGGCGAACAGCCAAGACGGACGCCCTTGCTCTCTGGGGGATCTCTTCAGAGACGATGTCGGATGGACTCGTCTTTGGAATTTTTTTTTGGGGACGGAGATAACGTTTGAAACAGTGCAATGACAGTTTCTGTGCTTGACAGCAGTAGTCATGGATCAACGCCGAGCGTGCTGGGCAGAGGGACCGTATCCTGACGCGCTAGGCTGGACGTAGCGGGGCCGAAGCTGGACGCAGGCGTATTAGGCCGGTTTAGGCTTTCTCTGCGCTCATCCACATCCCTGCCCGTGTGAAACAGCGCCGTCCTGGGCGCGAGACTGGTGCGCTGCGGAAGAGCTGCACCGCGCTGCTGCTCGTCCTCCTCGTCGCGGCGTGGGAGTGTGGTCGTCGGCGTGGTCGGGCTGGTGGGAGGAAGGCGGAGGCAGAGCAACAACAACGGAGCAACGAGCTCCAGGCGCGAGCATGCTCGTGCAGGCCGGCGTGGCTGCGAGCAAAGAACAAACACGAACTTACAGGGTGGCCAGGCATGATCGAAACGCGTCGACCAGCGCAACCATGGCGAAGCTTGCGCGTGTGCACTCGTGCGGAACCACACAGCAGGGCAGATGCGGCGCAGGAGAATGGAGGAGCGAGACCGAGTGGAGAGGGAGAACGAACAGCAGGCAAGACCCAACAGGCCCGCGCGGAGAGGAGGGCTGCGTGGGCACCGCAGCTCGTGCTTCGCTGCCTGCGATGATTGCGGCCGTGGGCCATCGGCAGGCAGGTCGCAGCAGCAGCGCACCGCCAGCAGCACCGCGCCCGCCGGTCGCCAGGCCAGGCCGCGAGCGTCCGCGGTGGTGGAGTCGGCCTGCGGCGCCAGCCCCGGATTCTCTCAGCACGCACGCAGCCGTGGCCTCACGGAGCTGGCTCTGCTGAGCTGCAGCGGCCCTGTGCTGGCCCGCCCCCGCCGGCGCCGGCGCCCTCACGCACACGCTCGCTGGCCGCCCCCTCTCTCGCGGCCACACGCCCGCCTGCGCTTTTTGTTACTGTTCTCTTCGCCTGTCCTCTTCTTTCCCCCCCCAAAACATCCGCCCGCCGCCGGCTCTCTGCTGCGTGTCTCCCCCCAATCTGTCTCACGCCCCCCTCGACGCTGCCTCTCCTCCTAATACAATCGTCCTCCCTGGCTTTCCCCTCGCCCAATCTCTCCCTCTTCCCTCTTCCCACCAGCGTCCGTATATCACCCAATCATCCCCCCGTCCGTCGTCTTTTCAATCCCACTCCAATCTGCCAGCTTCGTCGCCTGCTGCTGGCTTAGGGCTTTCTCCTCTGTTCCCGTTTTTGCCCACCCCCGCCCCAGCTCGAGTCCGTCGTCTGCTGCCCGGCCTGCACCTCCCCATCCCACCTCTCCGCCCATCCCGTCCCGACCCTCTCTCGTCGCTCGCTTGTCTCTTCTCTTCTCTCCGAACTCACCAGAACATCCCTCCTCCATCCGCTTTCGCTTGCATTCACTCGTTCATCTCCGACCGCAAGCTTCACGTTCATGCTGCACGCATAATTGCTCTCGCCTTTTTCCCCCCTTCCCTTTTCTCTCGCCCTTGTCTGGCTTTGCTGCAATGAACTTCCAACCGGAAGCGCACAATGGCGCCCCCAAGCGATCCAACTCTGGCAGAGAGATCGTCTACCTGTTTCCCAACGCAAGCACCGGAGGCTCTGTCGTGAACACGTCCCCGCCGTCTCACGAAAACATGCCTCCAGATGTCGCTCAGGCCCTCGAGTTGCTTAGAAATTACTCGTTTCGCGATGTTTATCGTTGGTTGAAGATGGACCGACAAGACGGTAATTGCGCCCTCCCCAAACACCTCGCAGCCACGCGTCCCTTCGCTAACGCAGTCGACACCAGAGATCAACCACAGCTCCGGTGCCATGCATCGTCCGCATTCGACCTTCAATGGCCCAAACCACGCTCCTCGCATGTCCGTCGCCTCCTCCACCCAAGGCTCGTCCCGCGCGTCTTCCGTCTTTTCCGCCGGCGCAAAGCGCATCTCCATAGCATCCACCAACACCACCTTCAGTCACCTGTCCGATCGGGGCCAACAGACGGTCAATCCAGGCTGGGAGGCAACCCTGCCCGTCAATGGCGCCCGCCAGTCGTCGCTGCAGACGGCCCACGTCGTGTCTCTGAACCGTCAGAACTCGGCAACCCTGGTGAGCTCGCCCGTGGTCAAGAGCGCGAGGCCATCCATTGTCAACACGACCCCCGTTCGCCCCAGTCCGCGTCAGCGCGAGAGCGACGTCGAAGCGAAGAAGAAGTACTTCTGCACCGCCTGCAACAAGGGCTTCGCCCGCAAGTACGACTGGAAGGTGCACGAGCAGCGCTACCACGAGCAACAGACGCAGTATCCGTGCCCGGACTGCAACCAGATCCTGTTCGCCGAGACGCTGTTCAAGTCCCATCATCGAGACGCCCATGGCTGTCAGGACTGTCCTCACGCGAAGGGCATAGCGAAGGAGGTCGACGTCCGAAGAAAGCGGACCGCCTGGGGCTGCGGTTTCTGCAGCGAGATGCTGGACGACTGGGAGAAGCGCTGCGACCACGTCGCTGCGCACTACGACAACGGCGTCAAACGCGAAGAGTGGGATCACTCCAAGGTCATCATCGGCCTGCTCCGTCAGCCCGAAATCGACCAAGAGTGGCGCCTGCTCCTGACGAGCCGCCACGGCCAGTTCCCGACCGATCTTGGCCTGAGATTCAGCAAGGAAGCCACCGGTCGCTCCCACGGCGAGAACGCGGCACAGCTGCAGGACTTGCTTGAATTTGGCGCCTGCCCTCGAGACATCAAAGCCATTGTCGAGCTGGCCTACGAACACGGTTACCGACGCCCTGTCTCGGCTGCTCCTTCCTCCTCGCAGCCGACCCAGACGCAGTCAACTTCCCTCATGTCCCCGCCGTTCAGCGTCAACCAGGACGCGTCCATGGAGTCTCCCGTTAATCAGACCACCCAATCCGAGGATGCTTCGCCCATGCAATTTGTCGCCCAGACGACCAACTCGAGCCCTATGGACGGCTTCGACATGAACGTGACCGCCTCTATGGCCGCTTATCAGACACCAGCGGAATCACGCGTGAGTTCTGTGGGCCCCGCCATGTCCGCGACCATCACCAACCCACTCGACTGGAGCACATATCAGATGTTCCCGGAGCAGTACACCATGAATCCTCCCAACCCAACTCGCATGTCGGTCTCATATGACAAACCACTACCACAAATCCCCCCCGAGGATGGAAGAAATTCCGTCACGCCCCGGCCGCAGCAGCAGCAAAGGGTGCAGCACGTGGCAGAGCAGATGCAGCAGTTCGTTCCGGAATCTGATCCAGCCTTTGAGACGTGGTCTCTCATGAACGCCTCGCTTGGGGACGACCCTCAATATTTCGCCACCGCTCATCAATTCGTGTGAAGATGGAAGAAACAGAGTACGCGAACAAAGCCTATTCCCGTACACGCCCGTCCTCCGAGCGCGCCTGAGGGTCGAAATCGAGCAGGCTGAGCGACCCTTTCCGGACGGCTAAGAGCGGTACGTCCAGGGTCGAGCATCGAATGTTCCAAGGCGCAAGCACCGGGCGCCGTTTCAGCTAGAGCAGATTTTGAGCCCGTCTCAACAAGAAAGCACCTGCTGTTTCGAACAAATGCCGCCACAATACGCATACGCCACAGTATGCTATTTTTTTCCTCCCCCCCTCCCCCCAAAACCTTCAACCAAACCCCTGTTTCCCCCCCCCAATTGCTACATCGTGATACCCATTGTGTAATCTCTAATACGGACCTATCTTTTGGGGGGACCAAACCAACCTCCACAATGAACCTAGGTCGTCAGCCGCTTGGTTTCCTTTTTATTTGGGTTCCCTTTTGCTCTCTACGGTTGAAAAATGGAGTGTTGTTGTTCTTGTTGGTTTCTTTGCTGTTTTTGGAGGACGGGTTGCATTTAGGCCTTTATGACAGGATCTGGACTGAGCATGGACAGGTACAAAGGTTGCATCGACTACGCAGATGGTGGGTTTTCTTGTTGATTTACGAGCTTGTAAGATATGCGAAAAAGGGCAGTGTCTTGGAAGAAACCTATCTCCGTATGTGGCTATGTCGAACTGTCTATTTGCAGATTACTGTTCAAGTGTGCAGGATCTTTTTGACGAATGTCATGCCAGATCAGATCTGATGAATAGTCCCCAAGATTGAGATACTTCAGAATAGCAACAAATGTCGAACAAAGAAGGTCTCCCAGCTCAGCCATGACCGTAGCCAACAGCCTGTGGCGTGCACATGTGCCAGGAGTGGCGCATCCGGAATGGCGAATGATGCACTTTGGACGGGGCTTGGCCTCACACCACCAAAGCACGCTTTTGAGGAAACCTTGTGTCAACACCATTTAAGGCGATTCCCGATTGAGCAGTAATGGAATACTGTCCAAGCCGCGATCAGTCAACAAACAAGGGTGGTTCGCCGAAACGGCTTTTCCACTGTATTACTGCTGCCCGTGCTTTCTGCGCGACGGCTTCTTGGGGAGTGGGTGCAGACGAACGTTTTGCTCTTTTGTTTCGGTCGTTTCACCACCAGCGGGCCGCCCAGGGGGGAGTTGATCCTCATCACTTTGCCCGCACGAGGCAAAGCGGCCAGAGGACCCAGGCCAGCGGAGGGCCCGTGAGAGCGCGGCGCTGGGTTTTGGATCTTATTTCTAATTTTCTCAAAAAGTCGTTTTTTGCCTCTTCAAGCCGCGGCTCCTACTTGTAGAGTAGCGGGAACCCTTTCCCCAAGTATTTCAAAAAAAAAAAAAAAAAAAAAAAGGCCAAGACGTTCGTCTCTTTCGTGACTCGTGAGAGGAAGGAGGACGATGACGATGACGAGCATGTTGAGATACCTCTTTTTGAGCGTCGCATCTCAGCCTTGTCCTTTCGAAAGAACGATCATCATTGTTTTAGCAAAAGTGATGCACATTACAGATAAATGCACATGAATACACTCGACTATGTGTATAAGCAAATGCGCATGTTTACTCTCCAACATAGTCTGGGCATCCTGGGCTATGACTGGGTGAGAGACAGAGTGTGTGTGTGTGAGAATAGAGATGGCAGAGGGTTGGTGGCGGCCGATGGTGTTGTCCGCTACGTTCTTTTCGGTTGGGCTCTTGTCAGTGGCTGTCGTCCAATTCCAATTATCGTCCCAAAAGTTCTAGCCACCAGCCTCTTACGGAGTATATTATTTACTTTTTCTTTTATGGATCGCGAGGCACGATGCCCGCTCGCTCCACAGAGGCTTCCAGGCTAAGCTTTTTGGCGTGCGAAACGGCTTTCTCGGCGTCGGCTGCTCGCCACCAAGTCTGGACAATTATTTGTGGGCCGCGCGGGAGGGGTGCAAAACTAGGGACTAAACAGCTTGGAGGCCTGAAAGAAGAAAGGGGAAAAAAATATGTAAATAGATGCCACGGAATCCTCGCAAGAGCGCAGCCGCAGCAGCTCTAGAGGAAACATGTACCAGGCGTGTGAGGTGTGCGCTTCTCTTCCCCTCTCCTTCCGCTATGCCTGTTTCCCATCCGTTCACTTCTCTTCCGGGAACCCTCGCAGGGACCCCATTCAGGCAGGAGGTCGCAAAACAAAGCAGGTTTTCAGGTTCGGATTGTGGACACAGATGGTGCCGCGTACAGCTTCGCAAACCCTTTTGCGGTGATCAAAAAGGAGGGGCGAAAAGAGCAAGATCCAGGGCGTTGAGAATCCCGTCTGAGACCTGGCTGCAGATCTGTCCACGCGTTTGTTTTGGCTCCCTATGTCAATTGCGACACTGCCCGTGAAACAGTGCGCCAATCGCTTTGGTGAACCATGGTCCTCCCTTCATTACTCGTCCGCCGTACCTATTGATGGGCGGTGATTTGCACGATACGCGCAAGAGGCGTACATGTGCGTCTGGACGGGATGGAGCGAATGCGCGACCAGGACAGCATGGGGGTTCATCTTTTATGGTTTTGGGCCGTGACTCGGATTCCTGTCTCTCGGTGCAGTGAACGCTGGTATCCTCGTCCTGGGCACGCTTCTCTCCCGGGGCCCCAGGTTCCTCGCCTTCTTTAAAAGAGGGGAAAGAAAGCGAAGAGGACGAAATCTGCTGGGCAGAGGAGACAAAACCTGCCCATTCTCCAGGCTTGGATCTGAGATGGACCGGATGGTCTCCATCTAGCCCTGCAGTCACAAGCATCACGCCTCCACGCTGCCAGATTGCACATTTACCGTTTTCACGCCGTGCGTTGCGCCCATCCATGGAGACAATGCCTCCTGCGGCTCTATTTCTGTCAGCTTCTGCCCGTCGAAGCCTCCATATAGTCGTGCTTCCAGACCACAGCACGCCCAGCCAGAGGATGAGCACCTCCCGCCCGTTACGTCGTTAGACACGCCTGTAACGTTTCTTGTGCGCCACGGAGACCATTCAGCTCTCTCGAGCGACTGCCCTGGCCTGCGTGTGGGATAGTCTGCGGCGCCCGGCATTCCGGACGAGCAAAGGCACTTTTCCTTGACGCTTTGAGCCTGTGACAATTCCCGCGCCTTGCAGCGGCCCGCACGCGCGGATCTCTTTCTGTTGGACAATGATTGTCGTGTCACGTCTTGTCGGACCTCGCACAGGAACGGAGCCCGGTGACCGGGACGCACACAGCGTCCGCTGCTTTGCTGTGTGATGGTCATGCCCGGCTCGCTTCTTCTTCTTCTTCTTTTTTATTTATTTATTTTTTTGAGACCAGGGCGACCAAGGCACAGTCTGATATCACAAACATGGGGGGAGGGTAGGGGGCACACTGGAAAACGCGGCGGGGGAGGTGCACATATCCTTACTGCGATATAGGTCGAGGGAAATGAGAAGTCACCACTTGACGGCCGCGTCATGCATTCGTCACTCGATGTCAAATGTTATTTTTTTTCTTGACCCTGTGCAGGATTGTGATGTGATACGCACGTTCATCTCGAGGGCGTAGCCGCCCCGTGGAGGAAAACAACGGGGCAAAACAACGGCAAGAAAATATTGAATAGGCGTGTCCAAGCTGCGGTTCTTACCACGGCTGACAGCGAAGATCTGCTTTTCCAAGCGTGGGATATCGTATCTGGAAATTCTCCCTCTTTCTCCTATGCCGGGCTGCCTTTTGTAGATATTGACGCCTGTGAGAGCGCATAGCTCCAGCGAGTTATCGCCTGCCTTGACGCAGCCGTATCAAATGCGTATGCCTTCACACCAAGATAACTTGCAAAGCATTAAACTAGTATTTGAGCAAAGAGACCATGCGACTGTGTTTTTGGATATTTTGCGATCGGTGCTTCATAGTTCGACACATAGACTCGTGCTTGACAGGTACCCTTGGGTTGGTTACAGAAGACCGTTTGAGGTTAAAAGGGCCAATTCGGCAAAGCCGAAAATACAAAACTGGTTTCGCTTTGCTCTCCACGCCATAGCTAAGTCGTTGCGACGCATCGAAAGAGTTGAAGTCGATGTTCACAGATAACTGGACGTTCGGCTGCGGCTTGTTTGGTGGTTCGTGCTGTTCTTGGCAAAGCCAATCGCGATTGCGGTCAAGCCTTGCACTTGCGACATCAGAAGCGTCGACCAGACTCCAAAGCTCTTATCAAGCATACTCTACGGTCCTGTCATGCTACTTTAACATACTTATTAATGTGTAAAATAATCTTTTGACCACATCGCTAACGTCGATATAAGCCGCATCAACGTATTCGTTGGAAGAAAGTGACCTTCTCTACCCAGCGGCATCCATCGTGTAGCTCAACTTTCCTCAAGTGTTCGATGCCTTTCTAGGCCTTGATAGCCATGATGAGAATTCATATGGGGACGAAAACTTCGAGTACGGAAGTCTGTGGCCACCGCTATTAGCAGAGGTCACCGTGAGCGGACCGCGCTCTCTCCATCATCATGGCATTTTCTCCTCCGCACCGCTTCCAAAAGCTTTGCACACTTCGCACACACGAGCCTTCTTACTCGCAAGAAGATGTGCTCTTCAACACTGACCGCTTTCCCAGCTCGATGCGTGAAGGTGATCTCGCGCAGGTAATACCCATCAAAGCCGGAGTCTCGTCCCGCGATTTTTTCAAATCGGAAGGCGTGGACGAGGGCTACGCCTCTCGGGTGCTCATCGATGATGAAGGCGTCGCATTAGGGCCGAGCACGCTGGTCACTGAGAACTCGCGAGCATACACGTTTGTCGTGCGCAATGCGCCTCAGGAGATCAAAGACAAGGATCCTAACCTAAGAGTAAGCGTACTGACCATTTACGCCGAGCGACTTCATAACCGTGCGACAGATTTCTATCTCGTCCGCGATCGCTGCGGTTTTTGGATACAAATCGGGTATGAGGGTCGTGATTCAGCTGGTAACGGTGCCGAAACCCGGGTGTTTGTGACGATCGCTGACGATGCCAAGGCCGAGAGAGAGCAGTGTGTCGCCTCGCACGTCGAGCTGGCCTTCCGTGACGAGTACCTGTCGCGAGGCGATATGTGGAGGCTAGCGACGTCTGAGTTGAGCGGGAGAACGGTGTATCAAAATCAGAAGATTCTGTTCCTGAACACGATCAAGGCCACCGTGAAGACCGTCTATATCAATGGCCGGAGCAAGAAATCAGGCTACTTTGCGTCAGACACACGTCCAATATTTCGGAGCGAGTCCGCCAGATACACGCTCTTCATCCAAATGTCGCGCGAGATGTGGGAGTTCGATACGGAGTGTTCCGGAGAAATCATGTTCAATAAGGTCATCCATGGCTTCCTCCCTGATCTGTTCAAGAAGTGGATGTCGATCAATGCACATCACCTGGTCAGCATCATACTCTTCGCGCGACTCGAATATGAGGACGGTCATCAGCCACCCGCAGGGGGAGTTCATGATCGGGTCTTGGGGAGATCCAACGGCTACCAAGACTTCTACCGTGTTGTTGTCAGTGACATGGCAAGCAATGATTGGATCAACATCCTTGACCAGCTCAAGCGAGAGTTTAGGAGTTTTTTGGAGGAGATTTCGGTGCAGATGCAGGAGGTCGACGGCACCACGAAGCCCATCATTGCAGGCACGCTCAGTCGAGCGTACAAGGGCAACTTGCTCGAGGCGCTGAATCTGGCCTCCTCTCAATTTTCTCGAGACTACATTGATCGCGACCTTGTCCGCACCGGCATCTCTGTCATCGTCATCACAGCTGGCTCGGGCTATTTCGAAGTCAACTACGACATGCTCAAGCTCACGACCGATGCCTTGATGGGCACAGGCATTGGCATCGATCTCGTGTGCTTGGCACCGATGCCTTTGCACTCTGTGCCCCTCTTTGCGTACAGGAATCCACGTATCCTTGAAAGCACAGTACCGACTCAGAGCCCTTCACCCGCGACGTCCCTTGGTGACAACACGCCACGACAAAGTGAGCAATTTTTGCGCAGGGTGATGTCCAATAATTACAAAAGTCCCAAGGAACCCAAAGCGGGAGACTGGAGCTATGCGATACCACACTGGGTAGACGTGTCGTACTGGCGAGGTGAGGCCCGTGAAGATGCTATGCAGCTTAAACGGCGGAACAGCGTGCCAGAAGTAAAGCTGCGTAAGCCTGAGGATGCAACGTATCAACCTCGCATACGCCTTTACGACTTGCAAATGGGCGGTCTCATGGAAAACGAGATGACCTCGATCGCCATAGCCAAGTTGCATGAACATGTCTTGCATCCTTGGCATCGACTACGGCACCAAATTTCGGGCAAGCCAGTCACCAAGGAGACATTTGACCGGATCGGCGAGTATGAGCGCGAATGGATGGATGACTATGATGAGTACATTTTTCGGCCGCTTCACGAGAAGAGAAAAATCGAGGAACATGCACGTAAACGTGCACAGAAGAGTGCTTCCGACTCAGGAAAGTTGAGTGTCGAAGCACACCGTCAGGACGTTGAATATCCTGAGGAACTTCTCGCTCCACATCCCGGAAGCTACCGGCCAGGCACAGGGTTTCTTGAGTGGAAAATCAAAGACAAGGAGGCCGAAACGCCGTCCATGCTGCCTCATCGCAAGCAAAGCTTGACTAGTCTTGCGTCGAATACGACAACATCAACCTCGGCTCGAACGCCGTCACGGCAACTTTTGCGTCAGATAAGCTTCGGTGGTTCTTCGTCACTCAAACCCGCCGAACCTACCGTCAGTACTGATATGTCTGTGGCCGGTGTGGTTAAACCTGCCACCTTCACAAAGCAGCGCGAAACAAATTCAGCCGCGAAAAAAGCGGATGCGTCTACGTATACGCAACAATTCCGGGATGCACTATCTCGGTTGAATTCTCCATCGCCAACGCCGTCGACGCCAGCGAGACTCAATCCTGTCGCAGAGAAATCCACGGAAACGTCTCGCCCTATCGAAATAGGCTCGGCTGCAAAAACTGCACGCTTGCGAATCCAGCATGGACGTCAGTCTTCTGATGAGGTGCTTCCGAGCTCTTTGGAAACTCTAAGAGGTTCACATCGAGGCGGGTTGAAGCGAGACCTCAACAAAGAACTTATTGCAGAGGACAAGCTGGGTGGACTAGCTCATTTACGTCGTCACATACCGTACCTGTCATCGAGTGCCGAAGCCCAACAGATGCCCACAACTGTGTCTTTGTCGCGGGCCCTGTCACCTTGGCTTGACCTTCTTAATCCATGTAATCCGAAGAAGGAAGATATCCAAGGACGTACTCGGTACAGTCGATGGCAGCACGTATTTCCGAAGGCATTGCGGACGGACAAAGTTAAATGGAGGTCACTCTGCTACCCAGCTTCCGTACCATTAACAAACGACTACTTTCCAACTGCTGATCAGCTGGCGTCCGAGTACCACGAAAACTTCTATCATTTGATCCAGAATACAGATAACGACTCGGCTGAGTCCCGCGAACATCTTGTTCGCGAACTAATCGGGTTTCGCCTAGCTCACGGCTTTCAACTCGTCGTAGGAGAATCCGTGTCTGAGTTTCTGGGAAATAAGAAAGGAGACCTGGCTCGGGTGTTCGACAAGAGCTACATGGCGCAAGATGGCGCTACCGTGTTCATGTCACTAGGCAATACTATTCACCAGCTGCTTTGCGGAGCTGACGGCAAGGTCGAGATTCGCCGGTTTCAGCGCAAGCCAACACAGGATTATGAGCCATTTGAAGGTTCGAATGCTGTCAATTACCGACCGTTGATAAAGACGTTTCTTGACACAGAATACCGACCCCGTAATTTTACATTCAGGAACAACACCCGCGAGTACAACTGGAATCTGATAGACAACTTCATCGCCGGCTACTCCGAAGAATTTTCTGACGCTCTGCGCTTCTGGAGGGCGCGTTTTGTACTCATACCAGTCGACATCCCTGTTCGATCAAACGCTCTTACAACCGTGAGGGAAGATACAGATGAAGAAATTCGGCTTGAAGGCATCAAGCGGCTCACCCAATTATGGCAGAGACATCGTGTTCTGCCTGAGGAAGAGCGTCTGGCGCAGTCTCTCAACAAACGAAAGGATCCAAACCCTCTTCAGATCGAATACCAGACGCGGAATCCATCAGAAGTCATCGCCTCAGGCATGGTAAGCTCCTTGTTTACCGACACCGAACCTGCACCAGCAGCGCCGATCGAAACCCACACCACCAAGAGTTACGACCTGAAGGCGTTGTCCGAAGAACTTCAAGGCGAACATGGTGTTAACATGATGGACCGTCGTTGGCACTGGCGAGTGCATAACAATTGCTTCATTGGCACTGAGTTCACTAATTGGATTCTTCTCCGCTTCAAAGACATTGATACCCGTGAGGCGGCCGTAGAATTCGGGAACAAGCTGATGCAGGAAGGACTGTTTAAGCATGTCAAGAACGAGAAAGATTTCCGTGACGGGCAATATTTCTACACGATGGGCGAGGAGTATCAGATAAGACCAGAGTCAAGGAAGGCCTGGTTTGGCGCTTCACGTACCGGTCCACGATCGATTCCCGCAACGCCAGTGAACGAAAAACGTTCCTTGTCGCAATACGAAGGGTCGTCTGACACGCGAGAGAATGGTGATGACGAACAACCCCCGGAGCGACGAAAAGCATATATCAGCGGCGTGATGAAATACGATGTTGACCCCAGGCACAAGTCTTATCGACCGGAGATCATCAATCTGCATTACGATCGGCTTCACAATCCTGCGAATTGCTATCATATTCGAATCGATTGGATGAACGTAACATCGAAGCTCATTGAAGACGCTGTCGTCAATTGGGCCACCACCGCAGAAAGATATGGGCTGAAGCTCGTTGAGGTTCCTATTGCTGAGGCCTGTGCTATTACAGATGACCATCCATTTCGATCACCATACATCATCAAACTTGCCGTAGCGCCTCCTTCCGTCCTGGTTACAAAACATTTTGACTCCAACTCATTCACGCCAATCAAGAAAACTGAGAAATACGCCTATCACAAGGCGCTTCTAGCCAAGCTACACTTTGTACTCGATGTAGAGGCAGCGTCAGAGTTTCCCTCCGACGTTGACGTGTTTTACTCATGGGGCAAACCTGACTACAAGTATACTCAGTACATTCACAAGTCAGGTACACTATTGGTGCAAATCACGGACGACGGGAATTTTCTCCTTGTGGCGAACCGTCTGTACAGCGATCGAGGGAGTTCTCGGCGTGAGACCGCCCGATTAAATGTCGAAAGGGAGCTGGACAGACGAGCACAAGGCGGCAGCCGAAGAAGTCCTATGGCAAGCCCGGCGATGAAACCAATCACAGAAGGGGTAAAGGCGGGCTATACGACGACGCTAGAGAAGAGCAAGTCACTAACTGCCGAAGAGGTGAAGGATGAGATGGAAGCAGTTTGTTCTGATGCCGATTGGCTGCGGAAATTTTACAAAGAAGTCGACAACACCGCTAACGTGGCGGCGAGTCCACAGGTTCTAACTGGGCTGACCGAGCTGAGTCTACCATCAAAATCAAGACTGGCCCTTTCTTGACAAGAGGCCGAAGAAATGGCTGCGGAGTGTGTTCTTGTATTAGTACTGACTTGATGGAAAGCATTCTGGACGGGACAGTCTATAATGCCTAATTGATCTTATCCACAATCGGCTAGCGTCATTCTGTCACTCAATGTATGTTTTTGAATAACAATCTTTTTATCCAAATTGAGCTTTCCTCGTTGGATCCTCTCTTACGACGTGCGTCTAAGCACTCTGGATTGCGTTTTTGCAACTCCCACTCCTTTGGCCTGCATGCTTTGAAGAGGAGCTCTAAACTCGTCATCATCCACATATGGGCATAAACTTCAGAGAACAGTCATTCAGCTTTTGACAACAGCGACGTGTGTATATCAACAATGCTGGAGGTTGCAACAACATGAGAATCAAAGCAGATAAGTCTTTCAAGCAGCCTTACTTTTTACTTACTCCTTTCGAAAGGTCGCTTTATCCGGGGAAATGCGGGGCAAGGTCCCCGGTGCCGCTTAGCCGCTGGAGGCGAGGATGATCGCTTTAGTGCGACTGAATGCTCAATGTAAATTCATCTCCAAGCGGCAGGCCATCTTAAATACTTTTTCCACGCGTCAAATCGCCAAATTTCGAGACAGTTGCGATCGAATCCTTGCGGACTAGCTTCCGATTCACATCAGCGTCTCTCTGTCATGAAGGAAGATGATAAGCCCGAAAATATCTCGTCCAGCGGGCTGGAAATCGAACGGGCCTCTACGCTAGGATTTCAATCAGGAGATGGAATTGAAACAACGAAGATGGAAAACGATGACGCGGAAGTAGATCCAAACATAGTTACTTGGGACGGACCTGACGATCCAGATAATCCTGTGAATTGGCCAGCCCTGAAAAGGTGGACCCTCATAACGCTTGTATCTTCAGTCACACTCGTCGCTGGTCTTTCTTCGTCCATCTTCGCGCCTGGAGTGCCAGCCCTGATGAAGGAGTTCCATTCCACGAACGAAATCTTGGGCAGTTTCGTCGTAACAATCTACGTCCTCGGCCTAGCCACGGGACCTGTCTTCTTCGCGCCGTTAAGCGAGTTGTACGGCAGGCTTCCCATCCAGCACATCGGCAACGTAGGGTTTCTCATATGGACCGTCGCTTGTGCGCTTGCCACCGACCTCAACATGCTTATCGTTTTTCGCCTGGTGCAGGGGATTTTCGCGGCGGTGCCGCTGACGAACGGCGGAGGCGTGATTGCGGACACGGTACGGCAAGAGGAGAGGGGATTCGCCTTGGCCATGTTCACATTCGGCCTTCTGGCTGGTCCCGTCATCGGCCCCGTGTGTGGCGGCTTTCTTACCGCTGCGACGAGCTGGAGATGGTCGTTTTGGCTTTGCGCGATTCTGGTCAGTCGTCTTGGCTTCGAGCTGGCAGGTTTGTTTCCTAACTGACTTGTCTAGCTCGCGCTGCCCACCGTGCTGACCGTCCCTATCTGGCGCGAAACATATCCTCCGATCATACTTGGCCGCAAAGCCGCACGGCTGAGAGAGGAGACCGGGAACGACGCCCTTCGCACAGATTTCGACAATGGCTTGGCCCCGTGGCCGTACTTCAAGAGAGGCATCAACCGCGCGATGAAATTTTTGTTTCTCTTCCCAGTCGTCACGTCTGTTTCCGTGTACATGGGCCTGATGTACAGCTATTTCTACCTCCTCATCACCACGATCACGCCGACTTTCGAAGACGTCTATCATTTCAAGACAAGCGTCGTCGGTCTCGCATACCTTGGGCTGGGATCTGGTTATTTCTTTGGACCGCTTGTCTTTGCGCTAGTCAGCGACCCCTTGCTCAAACGCAAGGCCGCGAAGGAAGCGACCTCAGGTGGAGAAATGAAACCAGAGTACCGACTTCCTTTAGCTGTTGTGGGCGGTATCTCGGTTCCCATCGCGTTCCTTTGGTATGGTTGGAGTGCCCAGGCAAAAACTCATTGGATTGTAGGTTGCTCTCCCGAAACTCTACGGCCATGGTCACGAATCGCAAACTCTCACGGTAATCTGCGAAGTCCTACGATACCGTCTCCGTTTTGAACGAGATAGAATTACTCTGCATGAGGCTGATGCTTATCAGGTCCCAATAATTGGACCCGCATTTCTAGGCTTTGGAAACTCGTTAATATTTGTAAGAATCTGTTGATGTAAAAGCGCACAGCGCGAGACTGAGAATCGAACAGATGTCGACGCAAGCATATCTCGTTGATGCCTACACAGTCGTAAGACCTTCAGACGTGATTAAACGTGCGCTTCATTGGCTGAACAAGATCGCAGAGTACTATTTTCCTGCCAAACATGAACCTTTGTTTTATTCTCATTTTGTCCTGGCCTCCGCTGCTTTCTTCCTTATCTTGACAAGAACCTGTTCTGCCTATGACCAAGTATTTTGGTGCTAATTGAGAATAGATTTTTGCTGCATCTGCCCTTGCGGCTACCACCATCATGCGATCTGTCATGGCTGGCGTGATCCCCTTGGCGGCCCCGAGAATGTACTCTGCTCTTGGAATTGGCTGGGGAAATTCACTTCTGGCGTTTCTTGCCCTCGCATGTTTGCCCGTTCCTTTCTTCCTCCTGAAACATGGAGAAAGAATGAGATCCTTGAACGTAGGGATGCTGAAACGTCTTTGAGTAAAGACTCATGATGCTTGCGCCGAACCCTCTTACGCTCTGCAAACGTTTGCGCCCATCCGCCTGGCGTTGGGCCTTGAGCACAGAATTGAAAGAGTACAGACGCGGTAATCTACTAAGCGAAGACAAAGGGCCGAAGAGCATCCAGAATGCGTCCTGATTGTGAGGAACAACATGACGAATTCTCAACGGATAGATAAGACTGACATGACACAACAGGGCGACGATATGATACAGACTCTGGTTGGATAGATTTAAACCTCATTGAAAAGGCATTTTTCTCTAGTGCGATGTGCAACGGCTGCCGTAGGATTGGTTCATGGTTACAAAGGACTGGTATCAAACCTCGTGACTGACCTGACGGTCTCTGAGGCCGTCTTCACATTTCTTGCCACCCGTCCTTTCAGAACATTCTTGAAAAGAGAAGAGAACAGAGGTAGAATTATCTACAATTCCCTCTTAGAACCAACGAGCTCATAGTCTGAGAGCCAGGCAAAAACAGACCCAATCATTCGAGCGTCTCATATTTCCACACAGGACGCGTGCTGCCACTTTCCGTGTCTATATCTTGATTGTCCCTTTTTGCAGCTTTGTTGAACTACGAGTTTGAAGTATGAATGAATCGTCATTGGTCTTGAACAAAGTGTAAGGAATCCTTTTCAAAGAGAAGTTCAGAGTCGCACGTGGCGGATGCCTCACTTCAAGTGGAAGCCCTTCAAAGCTAGATAAAAACGGCCCCACGTTGCGCGATAGACGTAATCGTCTACCGAAACGCGAAGGCTTCACTTCCCTTGGAGGTGGCTTGCAGAGATTCTGATCACACGCAACCACATAGGCAGGATATGCATGGCGTGCGAAAAAAGAGTGTAAAGCTTTCCTCTCCAAGCACGCGAATAAGCGAAAATAATGATAATAATATATATATATATATATATATTTACATAAAAGAGCCTAGAGGGCGGCCTTGACGGCGGCGACCTCCTCGTCCTTTGGCAGGATGTCTGGCAGGGGCCCGACGGGAGTGATGCTCTGGGGATGGGTTCGACGTCAGCCAAAGAGAAAAGAGGGCGGCAGAGGACGAGGTCAAGTTGCTTGCAGCCGGGGGCGTGCACGGGGGCGGGGCGACTTACGAAGGGATTGATCTGCTTGTGGGACTTTGTGTAGTGGTTCTTGATGTGCTCGAACTGGGTGGTGTGGCGGAAGGCGGGCAGGTCCCAGTACAGGTGGCGCAGCCAGGAGTGGATGGCCGGGTAGCCGGAGCGGATGTCCCTGATGTTGCACTTGAAGTGCTGGACGTAGACCGGGTCGAAGCGGACGATGGTGGTGTAGAGTCTCACGTCCGTCTCGGTGAGGCTGGCGCCCCAGTAGTACGGGCCGGGCGAGGCGGCGAGGTGCGCCTCGACGCGGTCGAGGCTCTTGAAGAGCTGCAGGACGGCCGTCTCGTAGGCCTGCTGCGACGTCGCGAAGCCGGATCGGTACACGCCGTTGTTGATGTCGTTGTACGTCCACTCGTTCGTCTCGTCGATCTGCTTCCGGAGCGCCTCGGGCAGCAGGTCGACGGTCCTGTGCTCGTCGTCCAGCAGGTCGTCGAAGGCATGGTAGAACATGCGGATGATCTCGGCCGACTCGTTGTTGACGATGCGGCCCGTCTTCTTGTCGTACAGCGTCGGCACCGTGAACCGGCCCCCGTAGTCCGGCTCGTTCTCGAGGTAGATCTGCCGCAGGTGCGTGTACTCCGGGTGCAGCGGGTCCGGCGTCACGTTTTCGCCGGGCACGTCTTCGCCCGGTTGGGCGAAGCGCCACCCCTTCTCCAGCATCTCCCAGTGCACGCTCGTGTAGCTGACGATGTCCTCGAGGCCCTTCAGCTTGCGCACGATCAACGTCCTGTGCGCCCATGGGCACGCATAGCTGACGTAAAGGTGGTAGCGGCCTTTCTCTGGCGGGAACTCGGCCCCGGGCTTGTTCTCGATGAAGTTCCGGAACGTGGACACCTGCCGCTTGAACTCGCCAGTCTTGTCGGCCCAGTTGAGAATCGAGCCCGTCTTCGTGTCTGTCTGGAGGTTTGAATGTCAGCAAAAAAAAAAAAAAAAGAAAAGAAAAAAAAAAGAGAACGAAATTTTCGCGAGGAGCAACGCTCGCGCGGATTCCGCAAGCCTCCTCGACGGGGACGCACCGTCATCTTCACCGGATTCGCAGATGAAAAGCACCTGGCGGAGCAGCTTGGGATCACTTTGAGCCGATTTGCGAAACTGCTGTTCGAACGTGGGACGAGCAAGCGGAGCGAACGCATCCAACGGGGCGTTCTCGCTGCAGAAACGAAAAGACCTATGAAAAGAGAAGAAACCGGGGAAAAAAAAAAAGGGACCCCTCTCTTCGTGCACGACGTCGAGAGCTCCTTGTCCTTTCTTTTTGTACCGACGCTTCGCTCTGAACAAAGGTGTAGCGGGGGCGTGTGTGGGCATCGCGCGTCATGCCCGAGTTAACCTGCGCGCCTGGGGTCTGAGTTAGTTCGCCTTTTGGGGCGTTGCGGATCCGATTTTGTCATCATTTGCAATCGCACACCAAAATCGACCTGACCTTAACAATCTCCAAGGGGCCAACAGGGTCTTCCGCGCTACCCGTCTTGGCGCGCGTGCTGACTCAGCACCTGGCATCCCCCCGACGGGCGGGTAACACTCGCGGCATCCGTGCGCCAACGTCCTCAGCCATCGGAAACCCTCAAGAGCTCCAACATGGGCTGACAGTGCCGTACGTCACGAACGGTGCTCGGGGATGGAAAGAAAAGAAAAGTCGTGGAAGCAGGTGAAACAACGCCGCCTGTCACGTAAAGAGAAAACTGGAAATACAAAATAATCATTTCATCATCATGCCATCTGCCGACCATCCAGCAATGAATCAGACATCTTCTATAAAATACAAATGTGCTGCCCTCAGCATGGACTCATCGCGTTGAAGGGTATCATTATATATCATCCTCGTCGCCTCCTTCAGACTGCTTCCGCATGGAACATGGGGAAAAGCAAAGCTCCAAAGCACGAACGCCGTCCCACCCTGAAAATATACTCATACATTGTATCTCTACTCTCGCTGTGGAGCCGCGAAAATAAAATGATTAAAAGACGTCGTTTCGTCGATCGGCCGTAGCATGCAAATGTTACCGAAATATGAAAAACTTGAACGGCCGTGGAGGTTTGTCGTTGACGGTAGTACGGAAAGTTAAGAGAGAATCGTATCAGATCTTGGCTTCACCGAGGGGTTTGCTTTTTTTTTTTTTTTTTTTTTTTTTTTTT